CATACGGGGGGGGGGGGTCTAGTATCATCCACCATACACACCATTCCCTTCATCACACGAGGGGGTCTAGTGTCATCCACCAAACACCGCAGTCCCTTCATCACACAAGAGGGTCTAGTATCCAACAAACACCACAGTCCCTTCATGAACTTCATCTCACGAGATGTCTAGTGTCAGTCATCAAACACCTCAGTCTCTTTAATCTCATGAGATGACTAGTGTCAGCCCAACAAACACTTCAGTCTCTTTAATCTCATGAGATGACTAGTGTCAGCCTAACAAACACTTCAGTCCATTGCTTTTTACGAGGAGTCTAAAGATGTTCAGCCCCCACTACAACTAAATATTCATCTCAATAGAATACTCGTGTCAGATATCATGCATATTAGTCCATCCATTCTACTTGAAGTCTGAAGATTTTCAGTCACCATTACAACTCAATATAATATAAAACGTACAGCAAAACTCACTTCAGTTTAGCAAACAGTAGTGAATAGAGATAACTTGTCAAGCCGTGTGGGTTGTTCTAAGCGGTACTTTATCATAGAGCTGTGCCAGTCCCACACAGGACGTGACACGTTTAGATAACATCAGTTTCAGAATGGAAACACGTGTTCCTACCACACTATGCCCCCCTCCCAACCCTAACCTATTGCCCCCTCCCACTCTAACTTAGTGCCCTCCCCACTCTTATTTAGTCCCCTGACCTCAGTGCCCTCTCCCACTCTTATTTAATCCACTGACCACCTCAGTGCCCTCTTCCACTCTTATTTAGTCCCCTGACCACCTCAGTGCCCTATCCCACTCTTATTTAGTCCCCTGACCACCTCAGTGCCCTATCCCACTCTTATTTAATCCCTGACCACCTCAGTGCCCTCTCCCACTCTTATTTAGTCCCTTGACCACCTCAGTGCCCTCTCCCACTCTTATTTAATCCCCTGCCATGACCACCTCAGTGCCCTCTCCCACTCTTATTTACTCCCCTGACCACCTCAGTGCCCTCTCCCACTCTTATTTAGTCCCCTGACCACCTCAGTGCCCTCTCCCACTCTTATTTAGTCCCCTGACCACCTCAGTGCCCTCTCCCACTCTTATTTAGTCCCCTGACCACCTCAGTGCCCTCTCCCACTCTTATTTAGTCCCCTGACCACCTCAATGCCCTCTCCCACTCTTATTTAGTCCCCTGACCACCTCAGTGCCCTCTCCCACTCTTATTTAGTCCCCTGACCACCTCAGTGCCCTCTCCCACTCTTATTTAGTGCCCAGTTCAAAGGGTTAGAGGCATTAAAATGATATTATTCCCTTATGCGTTTCCCCAGATATGTCAAGCTGATGAAAAGTCTTCTCAAATATGATGGACGCTTATTGTTGGAGTCCATAGAATACGACACTGAATCTATGAAAGGTAATTTAAATTGATGTTAACGGTATTCGGAAAGGCTGCGACTACTCGCACCCGGGTACCAGAAGTGAGTGGTTGGGATTAAAAAAAACTATTTAAAATATTATTGTTGGGTTTGTAAGACAAAATGAGGTATCAAATGAAAGAAAATTGAATGGACTATATGTTTGTAAACTTACTTCTTCAGCTTAACTTAAATAAACTACCACAAATGACATCCGAATAGCACTGATACAAAATGGACCAAGACGCGCAGCGCCGCCTTTCGCACCCGGGTACCATTAAACTCAAGCTATTCGGATGTCATTTGTGGTAGTTTATTTTAGTTAAGCTGAGTTTAGTAAGTTTATTTAAGGGGCTCGAAGTTGAGACGTAGAAAAAAAAATTATTATTTTTAATGCAGCGTTATGAAAAAGAAAAAAAAAATTTTCGAGTGGAAAAAAAGGGGGGGGGGCGGTTTCAAAAGACACCTGACGGCCTTTGCTTAAAATAACCAGTAGGCCTACAAACAAAACTTAAGAATTTCTGAAAGATTTTCAAATAAGCTGGAATTGTATTTTTTTTCTTCAACGTGAAAGTTTAGGGGAAGATCATTGATAAAACGTTTGGTCAAAACATCGCAAAATTACTCTTAGGGTGGAATATGATGCTAATTAAATTGAAAGATGTCATGAATTCACGGTGTACTTTTGTAATACAGAGTACATTCCTGCGCAAAATGTTTTCGGAGGCCACCTGTAGTCTCTGGCGTCATTTAGTTAGGAACATTACGCCACTGGTCTTGTAGTGTCGGTTTAAATTCAATTAACTTTGCCACTATGTTTCATAAAAAATCCGCCACTGATCATTCCTAAAAACTGTTTTCCAAAATAAAATTTTCAGATTGTGGAGTAAAGGACACATTTCCGCCACCATATGCCATGTATGAGATCGATACTAGGAAACTTTTCGGTAAACTTAACAGTTAAATCAGTGGTATAAATAGATATAATTTACTTACTCATGCCACCCATGCGTCATTGAATCTTACTGGTACTCATGCAAACCATGTGTTATTGAATTGTACCTGTACTCGTGCAAAACAATATTTGGGGGGGGGGGGCCATTTGTAAATGACGTCACGCGAATATTACCGATTTTTTTACCCCCACCCTCCCCCCATCGTCACAAAAGGTTAGATCACGTCACAAATCTCTCCACCACCCCACCCTATAAAAAGTCCCTGTTTCCACTACTGTCCTTTACAAAAACATTAACAAATTCCCCTCCAATGGATATCAAATTACTGCACCTGTTTCAGTAACATTTCACTAGAACAGTGGTTCTTAACCAGGGGTAAACTACCTCCTCAGCCCTGAGGTGCGGTAGACCAGAAGGTTATATTTTATGCATTTTGATTAGCAGCGGTAAATGTTTTTTTTCTGGTGATTTTGTTTGCGCATTACTTGTATTGGTCATTTCCCCCTTTGTTTTATAAAAAGTTAATTAAAGAAATAAAACTACAATAACTAAATTCTTTAACAGTGTTCATATTTTAAATGTTATTACACTATAATTAATACGGTGGGGGTGGGTGGGGTGGGGGAGGTGGGGGGGTTATAAAACGGAGTGGTCCCGCAGCGCTGTAAAAGGGTAAGAACCCTTGAGCATTTACACAGCAAAGCGATCGCAGTTTAAAAATAAAATAGTTCTAAGTGTTGTATAAAAGTTAAAAATGTCTGTAATTCAGGGTTATTAAATGCAATTCTTGACTATGATATTCCGCTTTTCATGAGACGTCATATTGTTTAACTCGCTCCCCACCACCCTCACCCCCACAAAATTGTCCCCCCCCCCCCCGACGTCATTTATGGATGGTCCCATATTACTGAATTGAGCCGGTACCCGTGACACCAATGTGTCATTGAATTTTACCGTTAAGCATACGCTACATGGGTCATTGAATTGTACCGATACTCATGCAAAGCAAAACATTCACTCATAAATAATGGGTCATTGAATTTTTTGAATCCGACCTGTACTCCGGCGGCCCTCAAGTTGGTCTCAGTCTGGGATCTCTCGCCTGACAACATTGCTAGTAAATGTTATTTTCCTCCGGGAAAAAGTGTGTTGCTTTCCCCGCCATATCTGATACTTGATTTAACTGTATGTCATTCATAAAATGACATGCACCCACCCAATCTTCCCTACACCCACCCCTACTCTAGATACCATATGGTCTGTCAGTGACCTCAGTAAATATCATTTGAGATATACCAATTCTACAATTTTGACCTTTGATACCCACAGAGACAGAGTGTCAAGTGGAACTGGTCGAACGAGGAGCTTGGCAAAATTCTGGACAAACTATTTCGACAGCAATTTATACCATCGCCAAGTCATGAATCTTAACTGCCATTTCGAAATTGAGATCTAAGTATCAAATGTACCCGCCATGTGGTTTATCCTAAATTTGGAAAATGGTAAACTAGATATTTCCTTAATATCTAAACATAATTACATTTTAGACATTGGTTACTTTTGAAAATGTTGATCACACTTTTACTTTTACCCACACATCTGACCCTTTTTTAGATGTAAATTTTCTAAAAATTTTAGAACTCCTTATTTTACTACTTATCACACCATATTTTACGCCTTTAACATGACAGGCATTTGATATATTGATATCCTAAATAATAAAAATTTGCGCCCCCCCCCCCCAACTGAGCTGTATTTTTTTTGTGAAATGGGAATCTGGAAAGCCAATATTAATTTATTTTAAATATAATCTGTATAAACTTTCAAATCTATAAGGTTAATGGGGTTCAGAGATACTGCTATTCACACTTAAATGTACACAGGGTTTTCCTTGCCCCTGGCATTTATAGAATGAAAATGGTAAAATACAGTTAGATGTTTCAAAAGTATCCATTAATACCAATATTAATAGATTCATGTCTCTCATATCTTTGGGGTTTGATGTGTTGCCATCCACATAAAATGCAATTATTTTTTTTCCATGCCTCTGAATTGTATTTTCAGAGAATGAAAACATCTTTTGATTTTTATTTGTAAAGAATATCTAAAGAACTCAACTCCCATTTTCATGTCTGGACATAATTGGGTTGTGTTATATTGGAATGCTTATGAAGTGTACTCATCCAATGAGATAGGGATTAATTTCATTTTCATTACTAGTACTAGCAGTAGGTTAAATGAGATATATTGATGTATTTGAAATTTGAGTACAATTGGTAGGGAGATGATGCTCTTACTCTTAATACAAAAATCGACTTTTAAAGGTCAGTTTTTCATATTATATTCTGGTAAATAGAGGCACTAGAGATTCTGGAACCAATGGATAGGTCATAGATATACCAAGTAGTCAGTTATAAATCTACAAAGTAATGTCATAGAGCTATAAAGTAATGTCATAGAGCTATAAAGTAATGTCATAGAGCTATAAAGTATCTGTTATAGATATACCAAATAATAGGCCATAATAATTTAAAACCAACAATGTTACAGGGATTAACTTAACAAACACAGGTAACGATGTCACAAACACAAGAAACAATGTACCAAACGGCACAACCAAAATTGTAACAAACAACAACCAGTCTTCTATATTGCCATTTAATGATACATATATACATGTACAAGTTCAACAATATGGCCAACCAATCAAGAGTTCCCACAAAACATGACCTACTTGAAAATTGAAAGTTAATTATTTTAAGACAAAATTTTATGTGTTCTAGACTTGTGCCACACAGGAAGCAGCTTTTCTTTCAAGACTTGAGTAAAATAAAGGTCCTCATGTGGAACAAGTATCCGCCTAAGGATCAGTGGCTTAAGGTCAAACAGTCCTTGAAAAAATCCCCCCCCCCCCTTTCCTGACCAAGTGACAAAAACAAACAAAAAATGGGTGGGATATCAACTGTCCCATCAGGGTTTCCAGAAAACTTTTCCATATTCTGCAACACCAACAAATTATTTGAACCTGAAAAAAACCCCCCCCCCCCCCTTTCCTGACCAAGTGACAAAAACAAACAAAAAATGGGTGGGATATCAACTGTCCCATCAGGGTTTCCAGAAAACTTTTCCATATTCTGCAACACCAACAAATTATTTGACTGAGTCTTGCACCCCATAACAATTGCTTGACTAATTCTTGTTTGACCCCCAACAAAAATAACAATGCATTTCAAAATTGGAAAGAAAAAGAAAAATTACTTTCTAATTTTTAAAACAAGAGTTGTAGATCTTAATTTTTTAAAAATAAATTAAAAGTGATTTAATTAAATACATGCAGAAAAACTTTAAAAATTTACATCTCAACAAAGTACTGTAATCACTTTTCTCCTAACATCTGTAATGCCACTACACTTGGGAGCCAGCCCACACACACGGGTGCCAGCTCGCACACATGGTTGCCAGCTCACACACGCAGGTGCCAGCTCACACAGGGGTACTAGATCAACAGGTTGGAAAACCCTGATCTTAACTAGGGTATCTAAATCTTGACTCACCAAAAATGAACAGAGGTGAAAATCTATGAAACAAAACTGAACAAAAATAATCTGTTTTCATGCTATGGCCTAAATCAAGTTAATATCATTCCTAAATACACAAGAGCGACCACGAGACATCATGTAGTCAAAATATATTGAAAGTGACTTGTTTTTAAATATTAAAACTTTAGTATTGACTCTATGTGTCAATATAAGTGTTTTACATTTTTTTAATGTGAAATCAATGTGAATCTATTGTCAGGCAAAAAATTAAATATTTCTTTGAGGGACTTTTTGTTCAACATTATTTATTTCTTTGTCTTCAAAGTGTCTATATTACAGAAGACTAACCTTGGAAAGTCACATTAACATGCTATGCAAGGCGATTTTTCTAGAGCTGCGCAGGATAAGTCACATCAGGCCCTTCCTAACAATTGATGCAACAAAGAGGTTGATGTCTGCATTTGTGCTATCACGCATGGACTATTGCAATGCTCTCATGGTGGGTCTTCCAGCTACGCTCCTGGATAAAATTCAGATAGCACAGAATAATGCAGCTCGAATTGTTCTCCGCAAAAGCAAGTTCGACCATGCAAAAACACTTCTGAGAGAGTTGCACTGGCTGCCGGTCCGTGCTCGCATTGAGTACAAAATCGCAACTTTGTGCTACCGCTGTTTACATGGCCTGGCGCCGTCCTATCTGAAAGAGCTGCTGACGCCTTATGTACCCACTAGACAACTCCGCTCATCCGACAGTGGCAAACTCTTGACACCACGTGTTCGCCTTGAGACTTGCGGAAAGCGCACTTTCGCATTTGCTGGTCCAACAATTTGGAACGCCCTTCCACTCGATCTCAGAAACATCCAGACACTGGAGTCCTTTAAAACCGATTTAAAGACACATTTATTTCGCAAACACCTTCTGGGATGATTGTCTACCATATTTTCCATTTAATGCATATTAGCTGTGTTGCTCACGGTTGAAATGGGTTGAAAGACTTTGACATTGTATGCTTGTTATTAGTTTTTGTAGTGTTGCGTTTGTTTTAAATGTGGTAAATTATAGATTTTTTACTCTTGTACCGCGCTTCGAGCCTTTGGGGATGAAGCGTGTTTTTGAAATACACTTTATTATTATTATTATATTAAAATTTAATTTTTATAAAACGCGGTTACTGACTTTTGACTATTCCTTTTGGTTAAAATTGTGCAATACATCAATCGATAAATTAAGTCAAGCATTTATAGCTTGTGATATAACTGAAACGCCATAGACATCAATGAAAAAGTCCCAAAGTTGGATGTGCATTCATACTCAAGTCATCAAAGAAATGCTATAGCACAACAATGAAATAGCCCCAAAGATGGAAGTGCTTTCATCAAAGAAATGCTATAGCACGTCAATGAAAGAGTCCTAAAAACTTTAAGTGCTGTCATCAAATAGATCCAAGACGGCCATGAAGGGTAAGCTGTCAAACAGGTAAACATACTTAACACAAAAAACAATAACAATTGTAAAATTAACAAAGTAGCAACAACAAAAAAGTTCTGTTCAAGTAAAATAAATTAAATACATTAAATTATTGAAGAAGTATATAAAGTAACTTTTGCACTGTTTATTTGCTTTATGCGGTATTAAGTTTGCAGATTTTATTTGTATTGTAAAAACATCTTTTATATTATTAGCTGTCACAGCCAGTGGCCAAAAAAGTTATTGTCTAAAGGCAGAATACATTGTGTGGCCAACAAGTGGTTTAAATCATGCTATACATTGGTCGAGTCCGCAGATATCAGGCAAAATCAAGCTGTCCTTTTGATCATTCATTACACAGAACAATAATAGATTCAACTTCTCGATTTCAGAAGCTTTGCTACAAAAGATAGTAAAGAAAAAAAAAAAACAATTTTGTACATCCCAACTTAGTCACACAGTGTAATCACAATTTCAAGTCAAAGTATCTTGATCCTTGGAATACCAATATTTTGTTTGCATCAGTGTTCTAAGGCAATCTAAGAGACCAAATAATAGCTGTGGACTTGGGTTTATTGCCCTCTGACAGGCTAACTTCTAGACCAGGAATAAAAACAAATCACAGAATAGTTAGCAATCCAAAAACAACATGAATTCTCTCCACTACCCTATCTTTAGTTGGAACTGGGTCAATATGGGGGCAGTGCTACTGGCCATCGGCACAGACTCAAGACAGTACAGAGCAGTCCTAATTTTTCTTAGCCAGGTTTTAAGATATCCAATGTCAAAGATGAATGCAGTTGAAAGAATCCATTAGTAATACATGCCAGGAATGGGTTTCTAAATGCAACAGTCATCATACAGAGTTGTCTGGAAAAAAAGTAGAAAAAACAATTATCAAAAATATTGACTTCTTATAAATATTATTATCCATGATCAGTCTCTGGGTGTTGGAAGAAGGACAGATGCTAGGGTAGGGTGACGTTGGAGGCCAGACAGGTGCTAGGGGAGGGTTGGGTTGGATATCCAGTGTCAATGTAGAGTAGAGACCAACCGAAAGTGATTTTCTGATTTTGGCCGAAACTGACGCAGAAACATTGAGATATTTTGAAATTCGTTCACGCATACATTCTGCATACATTGAAAAATGATGGGGAAAAGTATCAATATTTATATTCTTTTTATAACAAATGAGACCATCCTGTATGTTAATGTATAAACATTTATTGAATACTTTGGCTTTTACCATTGTAATTTTAAAGTAATTAAAAATGTTAAAAAAATGTATTTTAAAGAAGTATGGTAAGAGAAAATGAGGGGGGGCAGGGGGGGGGGGCATTAAATTTATGCAAAATTCACCATTGAGTGCCCTTTGCTCTTATTATATAACTAGCCAATATACCTATCGCTATCCGGGATTGCTTTCATTCCTTGGTGGGATTCCGAGCCTGGAGGGATTCCAACCAATCGGATCCTGTTCCCAATGGGATTCCGTTTTCCAACTTTATCTGGAAGGATCTTGAACCCGTTTGGATTCGGGTAAGATCCCAAATACGTCGGTGTTGCGATTCCGGTGGGTTCCCAATCCCCTAGGTATCCCAATCTAAGTTGTTCCCGATCCTGGTGGAATCCAGATTCCGGAGGGTTCACGATCCCGATGGGTTCCCAATCCTATCGGTATACAGATCCTATGGATCCCGCCAATATCCGTTGAATCCCGAGCCCCGTGGGATCCCGATACCCATGAGTTCCGGATCCCAGTAGGATCACGATCTAGGTAAGATTACGATTTCTGTGGAATCCTGATCCTTGTGGGTTCTCATTTCCGTTTCCCGGTGAGATCCGGATTGGATCATAATTCCAATGTGATACAGTTTACCGGTGGGAACCCTATACGATGTCTTCAGACAAATTATGAAGTTAAAATTTTAAATTATTGAGTTAAAATTTATAATGTGTCCCATTAAAATCTATTTCATAATGCCATAGATTTTAAAAGTTATCGAACTTTCTGGAAAATTCTAGATTGGATTTCCGCCAATATTTCAATACGGACAATGAAGTGTTCTGCTACCATGCTAGGCCTATAATCCATCAATTCACATAAAACCTATAGTGTTGTCTAAGCCTATTGATATTTATATAGCTTATAAAAGGAAAAATGAAATGGGGCCCCTGAGGAATGGATATTTTGAGTTTAAAACCCTTTGGAATTTAAATATAGATAATCAAAAATTTGTGTACTAAGTTTGGTCAATATCCATCTATTCTTTTAGGAGTATTTGTTGCTCATTTTATTTATATAGCTCATATTAGAAAAAAAAACTAATTATGGGCCCCCAGCCCCAAACGGAATGTTATAAAAAGTTAACCCCCCCCCCCCATTTGATTTTGGTTAATGATGGATATATGTGCCAAGTGTGGTCAAGATCCATCAATCCATGTAAAAGCTTTTGTGGAACAAACAAACACACAAATTTTCACTTTTATAATATATATATATATGATTACAATTGATTGTCGGCCTAGAGACAGACAGACAGCCTGACATCTGGTAGATGACCGAAAACCTTAATCAATTTCAGCCGAACGGCAACTTTCGGCACCGAAATTCGGTCGGTCTCTAATGTAGACTAACAACGCCCAGAGATTTTGTTCAAATGGTTGTAATACAGTTAACTATTTCTTTTTAATAACAGTTATGTACCTCAAATTTGCTATTAAAAAACTTTTTAACGAGCCTGGTTGGGGAGAAGAGGGGGGGGGGGGCAAAAAGGGGGGGAGTGACACCATGAATTTACAACACCAGGTGACACGAATGCTAGTGATGCCTCTGATGGGGGTCACCAAGTCTGGCTGCATGGAGGAGCGTATATTGGGGTCATTCAAGCCCAAATGCAGTGGTTAACTGGTGAAGTAGCACTCAGGGAACCTTCCCTTCATACCATTAGCAGACATACTTTTTTTTAAATAAATTATTTTTATCTATATAATATAAAACTATAAGTAAAAGAAAATTAGAAAACATGCACCTTTTTTGACAGTATTATGTTTGCCTAAACCAAAAAAGCCCCCCCCCCCCCCCCCCACGCTCTGTTTGTAACGAAGTAATAATAAAGCATACCCACTATCCAAACTATCCTCATGATGCATGTATGTCTAATGAAAAACAGACCATGAAAAAATAGTGCCAATGTCTTGAATTACTTTTCCCAAAAAACTAAACAGCTTTCTTTTCTACTTTGCTCCTTACTCTATTGAAAAGATAAGAAATCAAATTAAACAAGTTCTTACCATGGTACCACCATCTCGTTTTTTTGGGATCTTTGCTGCAGGTTCTTACATATAAAGCATTATCAGGAGGCAATTTCTAAATGTTCAAATAGAAAGAAAAGAATTATGGTAAAACAGATAAAAAGTTGCATACAGGCAGTAATAATTACAGTGAAATATATTTTATTGCTGATAGTTTAAATCCTGCTGAAATGTGATTGCATTCAGTTTTTTTATTCTAGATAATGCCAAGTAATTTGCCTTTTCAGTGTTAGGATCATATTTTAAATTAATATAGGCCTGCAAGTTAATTTTTTAACCCACGAACTGTGGTCGTCCAAAAAAATCGGCTGACATTCTCGATCTGTACTGTGGCAGCCAAAAAAAACACGGTCCGATAGCAACTTCCAATCCAATATTTAACCTGAATTATAGCCACTTCTTTTTTTTATTAATAATTAAATCATCTTCCGGTTCAAGCTGTTTCGTGATAACTTAAAAATAAATATTTTTTAATTGGAGTATTATATCTCTGTTTTTTTAAAAGCTAAAATGGTTGTAGTTACGGCTGGGCCTTCAGGGCAAGAACTAATAGAAATATGTTAGAAAGATTTTTAGGTGAGGTTTTAAGTGATACTGATGATGATTTTAACATTCCCCATGACGATATCAGTTGAGATTATTCTTCTCATGAATTTTATACTAGTCTTAGTGATACTGAAGTAGGCCTACTGAGGCTACTGTTAGATTTCAAGCCAGGCCCGGACGTTTGGCAAGGACTGACTGAATTTTAGTCACAGAATATACAGATTATAGTTCAGAACTAATAGATTTTATAGTTAAACAACCCAAATCAGTTCCACAATTCCTTTTCAAATGTTTACTAGTCAATAATAACTATTTTGCCTCAGATTTTGTATTTTGAACTTGGTTTTAGCAGTGGTCCCAGTTTCATATATAAATGACCTAAAATTACTCAAATTGCTTTCAGAGGTTTAATTGCAATCAAAACCTTAGCAAACTTTAAAATGTCTGAAAGATAAATGAATTGGCTACAACATTTAGATTTGTGTATTAAGTGTATCTATAAAAATTTATGATGTTATGAGCACTTGAAAGTAAGACATTTTGTTGATTTTTCTTTTCTTGAGAACTCCAAGGTCAAGGACACTGAGCAATTTTTTTTTTAATGGCAATATGGCCAACTTTATCCCCCATCCATTTACCTTTCTAAAAATATATACTTGTAGGGGTCTTGTATCAATATTTCTATGTCATTTAATGCAATGTCAAATGGAACTCAAAATGCTCTGAAAAGCTCCACACCACAGAATGATGCATGCCACAGTTCGTGGGTTAAATCTCTAAAGTTTTACCAATCCCAACAAATACCCACAGCAAGAATGAAAGAATCACTAGGTATGATCCACAATACGAATGAAAGAATCCCTAAATATGACCCAGAATAAGAATGCACTTTGACAAAAAGCGAGCTATTAAAAAAAAATTTAAAAAATGTGCACTTGAATCATGCTCAAAACAAACCACACCCAGCCTGCTGAGAAAGTGCCCTACACAATATTGAAAAAATGGGGCCGCTGTGATAAACATTTCAGCTAATTCCACGAACCAAAAAAAACAACTAATTTTACACTTTTGGTGGAAGTATTATAACATTTAAAGGGTGATGAAGTGGTTAACCCAGTGATTATTACTTCAATGCTATTGTTACACTTCTTTTTTTTAAAGTTTAAAAAGTGTTACATTTTTTAATTTTATAAAGGCCAATGTTGCTTTTGTTTGATAACTACCCCTCCCCCTCCCCAACCCATCTACATGAAGCACAAATTACAACTTTCCCATTCAAGTAGGAAGGTAAGACAGCTGTTTATTTAAGACCATTTTAAACCAATTAAATAAAACAAGGCAAAATAAAAAGAGTTATTTTTAACTAATTGGTCAATCACACCCCTTAGCTGACCACAGAGCAGCTGTGTTTAATAAGATTTAAGACATACCAGTATTCCCTTTTTTATTTTTTGACTTCCTTTGCACAAGGCTTTGCTAATTTATTTTTTTAGGTTTGCTACCCTAAACAGTATTATATATATTATTTACATTTGAGATTTGTTTATATCTCAAAGTCTTAAAGAGGTTTATAATTTATAATGTTTAAAATATTAAAGCTTTTTTACTTTTTCCTTGCAACTTGATAACATGCTGACTATGCTCAGGCAAACTGACTGTACAGATAAAGCAGGCGACCAATCCTCTGTTAATATAGACAGACATATATGACCATTGCTGTAGATATGTGGGTGAACTGGAATGTTTGGGCCTAGAAACATCACCTGGAAAAAAATGGGATAACATTTAAATGGTGTTGTCCAAACTTTCAGCAGTGGGTCGTCATAAAACAAACAGGTTATTTTTAACACTTCTTATACCTACCTAGCCACCCCCCCCGATTTTGCGTTTAACCAGATGAATTTGGTTTTAATTACTTAAACTGGAAGAAAAAAATATCCACAACTGACATACATTTTCAAACTCTTCACAGATCATGTTATAATTTCATTGCTAACTATAAAAGTCTAAGTTTAAGGCAGACGAAATGAACTCTGACACCTATTATGAATAAAATAAATTATCTGATTCTTCATAATTTTAACGAAACTAAATACATTTATAAGTGCATTTGTATGCAGCATAAATGATAAAATACTCATAATTAGTGTTACATCGTGGTGCAAGTGGTAAATAAATCGAAAGAACAAAGTGCAGTTAGCTTTCATTAAATTATCACCTGATGCAGTCAGCATTACTCTTATAAATAAAAGAAAATCATAAAGCTGGCAAATTTGACATACAAGTAACGTCTAGGAATGTTAATATTATTTTTCTGTGAACTGGTTATGGGTTTTACAAATCCGCTTTAAACCATTTCTTCAGGTTTTAGAATCTCGGCACAAGTCCTCGGAAACACTGACATAAGCCGGTTAAAAAATTATGAAATGGGTCCATCCCCACATTAATTTTTTTTTTGCCAGTGCAGCTCTTTGGTTCAGCCCAACAATAATTTTGCTTCAAAATTTTTTAACAGAATCATGTATGGACTTAAAGCTCTCACCAGGCTAACTATTATGGTTGTGATTTCCAGCAAGTGTAAGCAAAAAGCAACAGTATAAAGATAAATATGAAAAACATTGTGATTAAAAAAAAAACAGATAAATATCATGAATTTCACAGATTTTTAGGTGACAGTTGTCATTATTATTAGAGTTAGAGATATTGTTTCAGAATATCAGGGTACTTATTAAATGTACATACTTTTTTTGGACCCCCCCTCCCCCACTCCTCTATTATACACCAGAAAGCAAAATCTCAAAAAATCAACAACCCTCCTCCCTTGCAGTGAGCAAGTAATATTTGGATGGGCCCATATCATACTGATTTATAAGATTAATTCTAGTGACTCTTTGTTCTATTTATTAATTTCACTTCCTGGCATTTTGTGCTGTAAATTGCTATTTACCCCTGCGGACATCCACAAACCCAGGGAAAGACGGTGAATCACATGCAAACAAGGGGGAGGGGGTGAAAAAGGTGTGTATTTTATATGGACGTCCGTTATGAACAACCCGTAACTATTTATTTGGGCATTTGCAATTCAGTTAAAATTTGTAGGTACATATATTGTCCAAGAGGAATTGAAGTAGGTAAACAATAAAAGTCAAGACAAACCTGTGGTGAGTCAAATGGGTAACGTGATGTGAATTTGAAGCCTAACTGAAATCGTTCTGATTCATATAATGTTCCAGGTGCACCTTCAATGTCGACCACCCACCTAAATTGATACAAGTTTCAGCATTCAAAATTATAATAATGGCAATAATGTGTTAAAGACAGCAAATAGTAAAATGTTTTTAGTTACAAATAAGCATATTTTTTTAAAAAAGTTAATAAATTAATTAGTTACAAATGTTGCACTTAGGTAACATGTATCTTAAAAATTAAGGTGGAACTTAAAGGTACCTACTCTGATAAGTTTGAACTTAAACTGTTTGTATTGACGCTCACACCTGCTGGGGGATCCTTGGTCATAGCTTGGAGCTCCTTTTGGAGCCGTTTCTGAGCAGTAAATTTGTATACAATGATTAAAAAATTTATTTTTTATACCATGAAAATTCAATTATTATTTATAATAATTACTAATAACGTATTACTCACCCCGTCAAGCTTTGAGCTTAAATTATGTCAAGAAGTCCCAGATAAATGAGTACCACCTGTAGTTTTTTGGGTTTATATTTTAACATTGGAGACTGTGGCCAGCATGGTAGATTTGCCCATAATAGGATATAACATGTATATATTGGGCTGGATTTCAAACTCATAATCATCATTAAAAAAATCAATGTCTTGTCGATGGTGTCTCATCTAATAAGAGAAGGAAAACTCTGAGCATAAACCTATGCTGCCTTGTGGTTAGAGTACACCCCCACTGTTAAGGCTACAGAATAAAAACCCTGACGGAAATGATAAAGAAAGGCGATTGAAGGGTTGGAGGCTTTTTGCAAACACATTCCATTCACAAAATTGTTTTGTCACAATAAATTACTTATTTCCTTTTATGTAACTATCCCAGTCTCCCCTAATGAATTTTTTAAAGCAATGCCAATATGACTTTGCGTAGACACTTCCGTAAAACAATGGAGACTGCTGAAAAATTTGTATGGAAAATGGGTGTCAGTGCAGGAAAATCCAAGTTTTTAATTTTTTTTATTGTTATAGCATGTGTAATATACTTATTGGAGCCTTACAAGATTTTACTCTTTTTGTATCTATTCGAGGTTTATGCTTTTAACTTGCTGTACTGTAAGTTAATATAGTTTTTATTTCTGTATATTTATATAAATTTAATAGTATAACTAAAATGAATATTGTTAAAATAACTGGCTTTGGAATCGATTTTCTTTGTATACTGGTTTTCAGTTCTTTGTTACATACATATTGTTCATCTAAAAATCTTAAAACATATTAATTTTCAAAACCATATAACGTTGATATTGGTGCTATTTCATTCATAAAAGAATAATTATACCCCACAATTGTATTCCATTTTCCATCTTTTCACTTTGGAAGATATCTTGGCCTACATTTCAATCGATTTCTTTTTCATTGACAATCAGCAACTTTGAGAAAATCCTTGGTAAATATAAGGCAACTTTCATCATTAACATTAAGTTGAATTTAAAGATATGTCCTTTTCATATTTATTAAGTCTCTCGGGTATATATTGATCTATATGTGTGCCAATTTTCATAGCGCTATGTGTTTTATAAGAGATGCCATGTTTTTAGGTGTGAACAGTATGTTATGTATGTCGCTTGATTGGATGTGACCATGCCCCAATTTAATGGCAGAGATATCGATACTTAGGAAATATTCAAATATTACCACCATATACATCAAAATAATTGATAACTTTAGAATAAACTTAGAAGCATTTAAACAATAACATTATTAATTGAGGTTAAACTCTTTTCGCACCAATCAGCTATTTATCATAAATTTAATTTCTGTACTTTATTTCATTGCCTATGGCTATCAATCCTACTATTTATGTTCTCAAATGAACAATAATTATTCCTAGTTCCTTCCTGTAAGAAAATCATGACCTTTTTTTCAATTTGTGTTGAAACTTTTGTAAACAAAACAATGGCCACCCCTACTCCAGCACATCAGCTGATGCTAGACCATGTAGGTAGACAAGTTTGTGAACAAAAGAGCTTTTATTGTGAATTATTTGTGCTAAAAAATTAGACAATAGCCATGCATCATATGAATCTAATTCCAGAGATGATTTTCAGCTTTCTGATGGGTCGGTAAATGCCAAATGGCAATAGAGGGAGTGATAGTAACAGTAGTGACAGTCGGAACTGTCAATTTCAAAGCATTTTTAAAAATATAAAAATGCAACAGCTGTATAGAATCTAGAGAATGGATTACAAAAACAAGATCAACTTTCTAGCCCAAGTGGTTGAAAAAGTTTTACAAAAAAATTAATGAGCCTCAAAACCACATTTTTACTATGGAAAAACAGTGAGGATTCAGATAATACCACTCCTGTTCCTGCAAAGAGAAGTCAGAAAACAGGCTGAAAAGAAGCAGGAAAAATAGTTTCGAAAGCCCAGAATCCCTGAAACACCCATTCCCCTAGTGCCCACTATATCAAAGCCAAGGAAAAAGCCCATCAACAGTACAGACGAGCGTCTCAGTGAAAATATGCACCTGGTTGACTATGACTGGCATGATTGACAGTGTGCATACTGTTCAGTGCATAAAATAACCAAACGTGGCTGCTATGTGTGCATCGGATGCATAGGAAGGCTTCATCTGTGTGTTAAGGAGTGCTTCAGAAAGGAACACACAGAAAGAAATTTGTTCTAATGTTAAATATTTTGTAAAAAATGTGTTTGACATTTGTGTATATATACATATGCAAAGAAACTGTTTTCTTCAATTGACATTAACGCTACAAAAATGTGTGTAACTCTGTCACAAAATGGAATATTTTCAAAATGTAAAATACATTCCGATAAAAAATATATGTACTTTTTGGTGATTGAAGCTGAATAGGATACCAGCTACACAGACTCTATAGTAGTCTGGTCTTAAGTTCAGATTTGGTGCCCATTAAAAAAAAATAATTTTGATTTCATTACAAATAAAATTTAAAATACTATTGTCATATTGCTTTATCTTTTACATATTATTATTCTCTATCTAATTTCCTTTAATTTGATATGAAATACAGCTATCTTGCTAATAAAGAGGTATTCAAAATTAATTAATAGATAAGAGCACCTTAAAATATTTCCATTGGTCAGGCACAAACTTGAAAAACTCCCTGGTATAGAAAGAGCTAAAACCCTGGTAGAGTCCTTATTATAAATAATTGTAAATTACAGTGTGCATAAATTAGTGGCAACCATTCAATTACAGTAGAACCCAGTTATGTCGACGGCCTCGAAGTTTGCCAAAAAGCGTTGAGATAACCAATGATTGAGATAAACAAAAACCAATATTGCAGCAATTTATGTTCCCTCTAAGGTTTGTTGGTTCGTGTGCAAAATCATACAGTTGTGTGCAAAGTTTTACAGCATCGATTTTTTTGTGTGCAAAATTTTACAGCCCACAAATACAAACACACACTTGCAATTTGCTGCGCGAATACTCAAAACTGCAGCGTGGCGTCTATGAGATAGCTGCGCAGCTTAAAGGGAACATTGGCGGCAATGTATTAACATGTGCTTGAAATTTCTTTATGTACATGATGTGCGTTAATAAATGCAGGTACTTCAGTAAAAAAAAAAAAAAATTTTTTTAAATGTAACAGTTCTTTAGAGCAAAATTTCCAATTGAAAAAAAAATGAAACCACAATCAACTTTTTAACTTTAGTACTTTTTGAGCTACGAATTTCTTAACTGCACTTTCGTTTGATATTTTCTACTATGGACGAAGCCTCCACATTTTGTCAGCTCATTCTGCTCATCACGTCATGCGCAATGACTATATAATTTATATAAGGCAATGTATCCTCTTATTACTAAAATACTATTTAGGGACTTCTTATTTTAAAATTTCAACTTTGGCACAAGACTATTTCATTAAAGCTTTTCCTGACCAATGGTTTAATAGCTTTTGCAAACAGCAAACTCTTATGAATGAAACTCTGACATAGTACCATGGCGTAGCCATTATGCAAGTGAACATGAATGGCTGTCTATAACAACATTTTACAAACGGCAGATAATGATCATTTATAATATGGACTCTACCAGGTTTTTAACCTTCGAATAAAAACTTTTTTATTTAAATTACTTCTAGGTTCATTCTAAAACACAAGTCCTGTATTTTGAGAAATAAATAATTATTTTTAATTATGAAAAACTTTTTAATTTTTTGTTTGCTATTTCTTCATGTGGATTTCAAAAGCCGGCGATTGGTCATGGGGATCGTGATAACCAAGGTTAAGTGGCAAATTTGGCCGCCTTTTGTGCTCAAGATATCAGGGTTCAGCGACAGAAAAAGTGATATAACCGAGGAGAAAATGCTAAGACAAAGAGAGAATTTGGCGGCTCCACTTCAAAAACGTCGACATAACATGGTTGGCAAGTTAACCGAGGTCGAGATCAATGGGTTCGACTGTACTTGCATATGACTATGGTATATGGTTTCATTCATAAGAAATGTAAACTCTGTTAAAACACTTGTTAGGGAAAACATTAATTAGTAATTTTTTTATAGTTTGACATGTTGCCTTATTACAGCCACATTCCACACCATATCTATTAAATTACTCATAATGCATAAAAGCATAGTACATAGCTGAAAATGTTATTATAACTGTATAACTGCATAATATTATTACTGTTTAAAATTATAACTTTTAAAACAGCATTAATCCTGAAAATAAAAGTTGTAAATAAATTATCTTTAAAACAAGAGTTATTTATAGTGCATAATGTGATCAGAGAAAATGGGTCATAAAATGTGGAGGCGCAGTCCATAGTATAAAAATTAGAAACGAATTTACACTTTAAAAATTCATACCTTAAAATTACAAACTTAAAGTACTTTACTTACTTATCTGTATCTCTAAAACTAGTACCTACCATCACAGCAGCAGTATGCATTCTATTATTAGTCTTACACTAGCTAGGAAGTACTGTACTATGTGAAGAATATGTCTATTACTTACTATTACTATTATTATTAACTAATATTAATTACTAGGCACTAGGACTAGGAGAAATTTAGCCTTTAGAAAGTAGTAGAGGACTTATGGCTAGACTAGGCTAGACATTAAAAAAAGGCCGGCACTACGTACACCGCGGCGGTGTACCTAGCGAAACTATTGACTTTGGCCTCCGTACACCGCGGCGGTGTACCTAGCTAAATCATGGTCTGTGGCCTGCGTACACCGCAGCGATTTTAAGTAGCAAAACTATGGTCTTTGGGAGTCTTTAACTTTTTGGCCTAACCGGTACTTGTAGATTTAATGTTATACTCGTGTTAAAACTGAAATCTATTTATTTAAAAATCGTTTAGTACTATGGGAGGAGGATATTGATTAAGTTCCACGCTTATGTGGCAAAGTACTTGTAGAGCATTTCTTCTTATTTTTTTTTGGAAGTGTAATGTTAAACCATGATTTATTTTTGAAGGTAACCACTTTATTCTCCCCCCCCCCTTCCCTCCCCAATATATTGAAATACAAATATATTTATGTATTGTAAGTTTTATCATATGATTGTGAATCTTAATAGGCATAAAAAGGGTAGCTAATTTGTTTGGGGGGGGGGGGCATTATAAATATAACATTGTATGTGATCCCTCGGGGCGTGGTGTAAAAATGAATGAGAAAGCCAGTGAATCTATTTTGTTAGCACCAAGATATAATTACGACACAAATACACTACGGGAAAAGAATCACATGGTCATACATTGATCATGAAGTCGTGAAGTTAAAGTTGTCCGAGGCATTGTCATTGTGATACCAAGCATGTGTCAACACAAAACAATAGTATGATGATAAATACGAAACACTGCAGTGATTTTTAAAGTCTTTTAACAATAATTAAATATCATTGATTTAAATTTTACATTGGCATTACACGTTAGTAAATAATGCCGGCGGAGGGGGGGGTGATGCAAAAGGTAAGTTTGTTGTGCGGACGTCCTTTGGGGACAACCCTTATCCAGAGCCGTGGATTGTGTAGGCCCTTTTTTTGGTTAAGCCTCTGCCCATAACTCACCCCCCCCCCACCGGCAAGGATCGATTTCTTAACAAAAAAACAACAAATACAAAAACTTTGACATAGCGCAGATCCTGTCCCAAGCCCAATGTGCAATGGTTTCTGTGAGAAAACGTCGTGTTTTACCCTGAGAATAGCACATGCCGCCATGCCATTCTGGAAACAAAGTCCGTCATGAAAAGGGTAAACGCAGAACTATTCCTATGGCTTTGCTATAGACGTAAGTTTCTAAAATCAACGACACAAATACACTACGGGAAAAGAATCACATGGTCATACATTGATCATGAAGTCGTGAAGTTAAAGTTGTCCGAGGCATTGTCATTGTGATACCAAGCATGTGTCAACACAAAACAATAGTATGATGATAAATACGAAACACTGCAGTGATTTTTAAAGTCTTTTAACAATAATTAAATATCATTGATTTAAATTTTACTTGGGGACAACCCTTATCCAGAGCCGTGGATTGTGTAGGCCCTTTTTTTTGGTTAAGCCTCTGCCCATAACTCACCCCCCCCCCCGGCAAGGATCGATTTCTTAACAAAAAACAACAAATACAAAAACTTTGACATAGCGCAGATCCTGTCCCAAGCCCAATGTGCAATGGTTTCTGTGAGAAAACGTCGTGTTTTACCCTGAGAATAGCACATGCCGCCATGCCATTCTGGAAACAAAGTCCGTCATGAAAAGGGTAAACGCAGAACTATTTATTTATTTATTTATTTAGGCATTTTTATATAGCGCTTATCATAAAGCTCTAAGCGCTTTACAATTATTAAAACATGTAAACTAAGTAAATACAAATGAGACACTAGGATAGTAACTACTATTCTATAGAAACAATGAAAATGGCTATAAAACGAGGACACTTTGACACTTCAGGATCAACCCGAAACAGAAAATGAGGTAGGGCAAGGAGGGTGCATCACAGGTCATAGGCGGACCTAAACAGATGAGTTTTAAGGGACTTTTTGAAAATGGACGAGGTTTCACTATGACGTATATGGAAGGGGAGCTGGTTCCAGAACGTGGGCCCATGGAAGCAGAAGGAGCGTTCACCGATGGTCTTAGTTTTAGTTCTTGGGATTGAGAGGGTTCTACTGTCAATGGAAGAACGTAGTTGTCTTGTGGGGATGTAAGGAAGCAACAGTTCAGAGAGATAGACAGGAAAGTGAGGGTCAGTGAACGAGTTGAAGCAAAGATTGGCAGACTTGTATTTGATGCGAGAGGATATTGGAAGCCAGTGGAGTTGCCGCATGTGTGGTTGAATGTGGTCATGTTTCTTTGATTTAAAAATGAGTCTGCATGCTGAGTTCTGTGCCTTCTGAAGTTTTTCTATGTGGTGTTGAGGAATGCCTGAGAGAAGAATGTTACAGTAGTCAAATTTTGAAAGAATGAGTGAAGAGACGAGAGTTTTGTGGCATCAAAGGAGAGGAGGTGTCTAATGGTGCTGATTTTTCTAATTTCGTTATATGCTGATCTGCATATATTCGTGACATGTTTCTCCATGGAGAATTTCTCCTAGTCCTAGTAATTAATATTAGTTAATAATAATAGTAATAGTAAGTAATAGACATATTCTTCACATAGTACAGTACTTCCTATTCCTATGGCTTTGCTATAGACATAAGTTTCTAAAATCGAGGTGTTTTCAAAAGATTTGCTGTGAAACTGAGTGTTGTGAATGAACCTTTGATATCGTGTGTACATTTTGCCAATGCATAAGGCAAGACGAAAGCAAGATGGTTCAAGGTTGAAATACGACCATGCACAATAATGACATTAATATTCATACTCATATGATATTAATGATATACTGGTATTTTCTTTGGGTGTTCGTAAAAGTAAAATGTAAATATTCAACTACACGAAGATTGTTGAAATACAATAGGATATCACTTAGTATTCAAAATGTTTCTGTTATACATGTTACATACACTATACATGCGCTTTCAGAAACTTTAAGTTTATTTTCTAATGTCTAAATGTCTTATTACTAAATTTACCGGTATTTTCAAAGTCAAAGGCCGGCACAACTTGTTGAAACACTATAATATATATATATATATATATATATAATATAATACAATATTTAAAAATATGTTTAAATTGTTTAATTTGCTACAAAATATTTTAAAACTAAAATAGGAGGAACAAAAACTCGATCCCCTACTGGGAATTGATCTCGAAATATATTAACGCCAAGCGTCCACTCTACCACTTGACCACACAAGATCTGCAAATACAAGTATATCTTAAAAGAAGACCAATGGTACATTTTTGCCGCGGTGTACCCAGGCCAAAGCCCACGATTTCGCTAGATACACCGCTGCGGTGTACGCATCCACAAAAAACCTCTGTATATTCCATGTATTGTAGGCCTTCTTATTCAATTAACTTCTAAACTTACTAAGTCAGTAGTCTGAACTAAAATTAACAGTTACTAAAAGTAAATACAGTAGGCCTAAATTTTTAAGTTAAATGAACTTAGACTTAAATCAGCAGTGTAACTCTAAATTTACACTAACTAAAACATAAACATGATATTGATAATAGGCTACAATAAGGTATATCCTAACACCCTGATACTTATTAATATTAAATAGGTTGAGATTTAAAGAAATCTTTAGTACTTTAAACGAGCCCTTTAAACAACTGTTAACTGCAGATAAAGTAAAACTGTAAGAACGATACAGAACAGTGGATGTTTGAACTCATAAACAATACAATACTTACTTCCATGGAAGTCATCTTGGTTTTCTTGGTCAACAATGCCAGGTACATGCCAAAGATGCATTTGCCGTTTCAGTTGATTTTTTTTTTTGTTTTACAATATTTTACAATTTAGAATGTTTTCACAAACGTCCTCATAATTACTTTCGTGGTTAAAAATTTGCAGACATTTAAAATATTTATAAGTTTTAGACATAACATCTTTCTAGCAATCAATGCAGGCTTTTTCCCCCGCCTCCATTTTTTTTTTAGTAAAGGTATTAGAATATTCACGAGTCCCTCAGTAAGTAGAATTTACACAGGAAATCTCGAAACCTATAAGAAACAACAAAGTGGATTTAAATAAAATCATCAGTATATTATATATTTTTTTCATTGCTAAATTTTGTAGATTTGTGTTATTTAAAGTATATTAAAAACGACACCTATACTTTCTAAACCTTTTCTTACTTTTCTAAAATATTATCCGAATTGTCTTACATTTTTTTTTTATTCTTGTTAAACTTTATGTTTATGGTAAATTTTAAATTTACTATTAGACTATAAAATGTATTTACTGATTTTTTAAATTTTATATAAAAGAGTGTTTAAAGGTTTATGATGCTAATCAGAATTATAACAAAGTGTTAAAATAGTATTGTTGCATTTTTTTTTAAAATACAAAAAAAGCAAAATGGCCATTCTTTTTATGTTAGCACTTTTCAGTGTTTACAATTAGTTTCGACGAACTTTGATATGACCAATTCAAATTTATATTATAAACAAGATGATTCATTTTATTGAATAATAATTTATATTTGAAAAAAATTTATCATATTTTAAGGTGGGGAAAAAAGGTAAACTCTTGAGCACGCTAGCTCTACATGTAGTTGCCAACAATGTCAAGTATGGCGCCTGTAAACGTTCGTGTAAATCCGATTGGGATCTTAGTTTTTGTTGGAGGTTTTGCAATAGCTTTGTTATATTTATTCGGCATGCCTGACTTCTTCAGAAGAGAACAGAGAGTTAGCATGAAAGAACTATTAGCTGTTAGTATTGGACTTGCTCAAAGAGGTGGTCTTCAAGTGAAGGAAATTTATCAAAAACACAGGCTAGGAGAAACGGTAAAAGGGAAAACTAAAGAAGGTGCAGATGAGATGCTTACAAATGGGGATTTAGAATCTCATCGGACTATTTTCTACGGATTTTCAAAAATATATCCAAGTATTAAGGTACATTATTAAAACAGTTTCATAAATATTGATCTATTGAAATAATCAAGCAACGTTTAAAAACTATTGCATTTGCATAATTATATTATGATTAGGTACTTTAATATAAATGTTTAACAAATTGAAATAATTTTTTAATAATAATAATACAGTTAGTTAGAGCAAATTCCAAATAAAAAAATGAAACCAGAATCAACATTTTAGCTTAAGTAGTTTTTGAGCTACAAATTTTTAATCCATTGGTCAGTTAGGGAAAGCTATAATTAATTAGTCATGTGCCAAAGTTGAAAGTTTAAAATAAGTAGTTCCCAAACAGTATTTTAGTTATAAGGGGATGTGGTGCCTTATATAGAGTATATAATATATAATACATACATGTAAAATGGGCACCATAGACTTGGTAAACAGAAAAGCCATATATTAATATATTATGTTAAGTTTACCTGGCATACATAGTCTATAGTGTATAGTTAGATTACAATTTATTTATTATTGCATAACATTATTTAATTACTTATTTAATACAGCATTAACTCTTTCTATCCGCATCAACACTCCCATCGTCAATTTTAAATGAGGTTTCGGACGGATCGTTGATGTATAAAAACCTGTTTATTTCGGTTCTTTTCTTAATTATTGGTTTTTAGTTACTTTTAATCAAATCTAGATTAATTATACATTAATCTAATCAGGTTGTTTCTGAGGAACACGACAACAAACCAGTTGATTTCAATCAGATATCTCCAGTAGCTACCAAAATTGATGAGGTAGAGGAGGTCATCAAAAGTGACCAGTCCATTCCTGTAAGCAGGATTGCAATTTGGATTGATCCACTTGATGCAACACAAGAATATACTGGTATTTAAGTTAAATAACCTTTCACTGGATTTAGCCAAAGCATAGATGGGGAATAGACCAATTTTCTTCAGATAAACTAGTTTCAAATAACCAGTTAATTTATTGTTATTTAATTTATTATTTAAACAAATATTATTTTTTTAGAATAAGTTGAGGGACTCAGAAATGCTCTGAAGCACAGTCATTCATTTTTCAAAAGCAAATAAATTTTCTGTTATAGCAAATAAACTGTGTTTCGAATATATGAATACAATTTTGTTATAATTTATGTATTTTATGATTGGCAGAAAGTTTGACCCAATATGTAACAACTATGGTGTGTGTTGTAGTGGATGGAGAACCTAAAATTGGTGTGATTAATGTCCCATTTCAAGATGAAACAAGTGAGTAAATTGGTTGCATAATGCCAAAAAATAACAAAAGCAACAAGTTCCAACTATTGTGTATGATTCTTGCTTGAACTTATTCTTTATTTTTAACCACACTCTTATTTACATGAAATAGGTGTACTCTGCAAACTGACTTAGTCAGCAAACACACTAATAAGTAACAACTGCGGATATTTTGGAAAATAAGTTTCCAACAGTGCATCAGACCATATAAAACTTAGTAAACTAGTATTTTATGTGCTGTTAATTGAATTTCAGTGCATCGGACCATATGAAACTAGTACTTTATAGGCTGGGCCAGTTAATTGATTTTGTTTGGTTTTAGATGAGAATGCTGATGTAAAATGAAAGATAAACTATAGAAATCAAATAAAATTATGAGGAAACGAGGTGTTTTTACAGTCCATCACAACTTCATAATAACACAGACAAGACACAATGTATTTACCTTCCCCCACAGAGAAAAGTACATTTTTGTTGACTTATAAAGTTGATCACTTATAAAACCGATCCTAACAGAGGGTAATGTCATCATTCAAGTTTCAAGTAAAAAATGGACAAATCTTACCATTAATATAAAACACTTATTTCTTATCATTATTATAAGAAATTATTTTTTAAGCAATATAAGAACTATTTTTTCTTAGATTGTTACCCCTGAATTTATTGGCAACAACTTGGTGACATTTATGCTCTACTTACCCTAACTCATTTGTTGTTGTAATCCTAGGTCATTTATTTTAATTGATGACTTTGATGATAGACTAAGTTTATTAATGATGGTTATCTTGACTTTCATTTTATTATGATAGGTTATATGTTGATTTTCAGTTTATTATCATAATGTAATATTGAAATTCAGTTTATTATCATAATGTTAATTTGACTTTCAGTTTTCTGATAAGGTCTAGGTCATCTTGAATTTCAGTTTATTTTGATTCAGTCAAGGTTATATTGACTTTCAGTTTGGGCCTGGGATGGTTACGGTCACTCCAAAAATCTGAAACCAGGAGAAACAACTGAAACTGGTGGCAGTCAAAAGCACAGCATCATTGTGTCACGTAGTCACCAAGGCGATGTGGAGAAAGTAGCTAAAAGTGCTTTTGGAGATGATGTCAAAATCATAACGGCAGGGGGTGCAGGTAGGAAGTACAGAAGTTTTTGTACCTTACTTAGTTTGTGTTTTGAATTTGTGTGCTTTTTTGAAAATTCTTTGTCATTTTATTTATTTTTTGCTCTAAGAGAATTTGGAAAAAAGGAGACAAGAGCCATAACATGTGCCACAATAGTAGTAGTAGTAGTAGTAGTATAGTAGTAGTCAAGTAATAGTGTAATAGTAGTAGTGTAATAGTATAGTAGTAGTATTGGAGAATTATTTATAACAAATCCCATTTTCTTTCCATTCCTACATGAGTAACATTAGTTAGCAGTATAAAAAGAATTATTATTATTTTTTAAAGAATACTTCTGTTGCGATTTACACGCGCATAGATGCCAATTTGACTGAAGACGTTTCACATGTGACTATTTTTAATGCATTCCTACAGACTGGTAGACACGATGTTCCATCTGTTTTTCTTATCACATAATCAAGGGGCGCCTTGTAAACACATGCACGCACACACACAAGCAAGTAATATAAAATAAATAAACAGACCATTGCTTGATAAATTACATTTTAAAAAATGTTTGATGCTACATCCAAGCCACTGTGGGACATCACAAGGATTATTTCAAATCCTTTCTGTGAAAGAGTTGTTCTAACAGCTAGATTTGGTCGCCTTTTCAAAATAAAGACAGTTAATGCATTAGAACTCATATAAAAGAAAACAGAAATAAATTAGCATACGAAATCTACATACATGAATTCACATGAAATCAAAAGGAATCTAGATTTAAAATGAATGGGTGAAAATATTTAAATTTGTTTAACTCTAAATAATCTAGACCTGACAGTGTTTAAGAAGTAAACTACCCGGTATCTGTAATCAGGGGTATAGCTAGGGTTAGTGTTTCCCGGAGCGGGTCAAGATTTTTTACACCCCCAGCCTGGAAAAAATATTTGCATTTGGCCAAAAATTCTGCCCCTCCATATAAAGAAAATAAGTGCCACCCAAGGCAGAAAGTGCCTTCTGCACCCCCTTCCTACACCACTGCCCATAATCAAACAGAAAAAGAACTGCCAGTATTTTATAAGTAACTACCAGTAATCAAGCACATTTTTGGTTCCTTGGAAAACAATGATGATAAGAAATGTCTAGCTTTTTAAGTTGTGAATAAGGAACTTAAAATATTACCATCACTATTTCCAAGTATTGGCTGTTGGTGTTTTTTGTTCTTGTATGTCCTTGCTATACAAAAATGACCAAAGCTATATTTATCAGTGAGTACTCATGTGGCTTGTGAGTCCCACTTTTGCACAGAAAGCTTGCCTGTTTGGAGGATAGAAGTATTTTGGGGTCCTAGTGGTAACAATAGACTAGCCACTGGCCTATCTTTATAATATATCCATTATCTCTTTAGATTGGCTTCAAGAGCTTTGTTCTAGATCTTTTATATTTAACTTAATGGAAAATATTTCCACCATACTTTGTCAGGTTTGTTCAAAATCTCATCTCTCCATGTCTTATTTTTGTTGATCAGGTTACAAAAGCATGGAAGTGATTAAAGGCTCTGTCAATGCCTACACCCACATAACCCTGATTAAGAAGTGGGACATTTGTGCTGGCAATGCAATCCTTAATGCAGTGGGAGGGAAGATGACAACACTGGATGGAGATTTCATTGATTACTCACCCAGCTTGAGTGTTAAGAATGAGAGAGGTCTTCTGGCAACAGTCAACAGCAAGCTCCACTATGATTATTTAGATAAACTAGGAGAGAAAGCCAAGGAAATGATGGTGGCCAATATGAAAAATAAGTCAAGGAGATGAACATGATGGAGAAGTCTGGGGTAGAGATTATATTGAGGTTATGAACAAGACAGTGAAATCTGGGATAGAGATTATATTGTGGGTATGCTACAACAAGTGTCCTTATTCTTAATTTATCACAAATACATTTTTTTTTATTGATTATGATTTATGTGAATACTTAAAATGAATAAAGTGGTCTAGCTTACCATCATTTGTCCAATGAAATATTGAGAAAAAGCTAAGCATATATAATACATGCTGCATCGCTTACCTTAACAAAGTCATATATCATTTCAATGGGTGAAAGACTCACTAGGGTTAGTCATATAGATGATGTCATTTGTTGCTTTTTGCTGACATCATTGTCCAAATGACAGACTAAGAGTTAGTCATAGAGATGATGTCATTTATTGTGTTCATCAAATGATGTATTGTTATATTGAGAAAGATTTGAGCTCCTGGGTGCTTTTAGTTTACCCTGTGTCATTTAATTTATTATGTATTTATATATTTGTATTTATTATATTGCTGTTGCCTTAGTCTTAGTCGCAGGGCAGGATCTGTTCACAGCCAACCTCCCGGAATCATTTGGAGGGCCACTTGGACAGGAGCATTTGGAGGGCCACTTTTACTGAGCTAAAATTTCTGCTTTTTTTTTTTTTTTTTGCAGGAAAGATTTTTAATGAGTGCATTTGGAATAAATGTTGTGTTAAATTAGGATTGGATGTACGGTAAAAAAAATTGCAGAGGACTGGGAGGTAATGGTTCTGCTGTCATTATTGGGTTTCATGGAAGAGTGCAATCAGAGGTTGCATAATGTCGATATTATGCCCAATGGATTAACGGACATTGCAACTTGGGCCTTTAGCAGACAAACCTTTTGTCTGCTTTCTAAAAATTTTCATTGAACAGAGCATCGAAAAGAAAAAACTGTACTGACATCTTAAGCCACACCATCACAACCCACAGCATCACAGCCCACACCATCACAACCCACACCATCACAGCTTATGCCATTACAATCCACACCATCACAGCCTAGAGTGTAGTTATAACATCGGATTTCCTTGTTTTTGGAAGAAATATTATGACACTTGAAACTAAAATGGTGCTATGTAACTTATTATAAGTTAATGAAGTAAAACAAAGTTATTTAAGCACTGTGCAAAAAATCTGGAAAAAAATATAGGCCAAGTCAGAAGGACAGTTTCTTTGCCTATTGCTAAATCTATTGTCGGGTTGGTGAGCTGCTGCATTCTCAATGTTTCGATTCATTTGATTTTGAAAAATTGAGAATTTGAAGACCAACTTTTAGATCATGAACTTAAAATGATCAATTGGTCATTGACACCTTTCTACTAGACACTCTGTGATACCAACACTGGAATCTATAGCTATTCAAGTGTTATCTATTTACATTTGTAATAGACAATTTGTAATGGCTACGGTACTTTAGAACATATATTATTCCACTATTGTCACATCTGTTTACATTTCAGTGGGGTAAATCTAGAAATGTGGATTTTTAAAAAATGTTTATTTTCAAGTTGAATTAGAATACTTGTTTTAACACATTAAACCTTAGGAGGTCACATCAAGTTTTTTTACATTCTAGAAACTTTATTTGCATAATCTTTTATGTTCCATCATTTATTCAATGATATATATTAGATGCTACAAAAAGACTCTGAATTACTTCAATATAATGCTTCATAACATACATTTTCTGAATTACCCTACAGCCTTTCACCTGGATGTAATAAAGATGTCTGTTTTTTTAAATCTCACTTTCATATATTCAGTAATTCTATGAGACATCAAGCTGAGCTCTTGTATGATGCATTTAACTCTAGTATGAAAAATAAAAATGTTCTTTATTGGACAATGTTAGCAGAAAATTAGTTCTATTTTAAAGAGACATTGGACACTTCTATGTCCATTTATGTATATATGTCTGCATGCAGTATTTTCTGTACAAATCTTTATTATTTCATATTAATTATTAATGCAATGATTACCATGTTTCTGTATCAGGTTTTAAAAACTTTGGAAAACTTGTTGGGTAGATTTCAAACTTTACAATGTAATTTTAAGTTGTGCCATTCCATTTTAAATATTTGTTCAGCTGTTTTGTGACTGTCTGCAACTTTTAATTGTCAGTTGTATATTTTTTTCTAATTTGTTATCTTTAGAATTTCATTAAGCTGATGATAATTGCACCATTTCATTGACCTAAGTGCATTTCATCTTCTTCATGTAGATTTTACCCTTTAAATTGTGCATCTGTATATGATTAAATGACCATTTGTTCAGACTGTTCCTTTTTTTTGTTGTGGTTTTTTACATTTTTAATTTATTAGTACCTGTTTTGTTGGGGTCTCTTTACCATCTACAGCAGTGCTTTCCAAACTATTTGTGGCAACACAAAAGTGTGCCTTCTGCATAGCCAGTATGTATTGAGGTAAAATAAGTCACATGCACATTTTTTAGACATCAAAGGCAAACTATGTCTTTGTGGCATTTTGTGGTTTAAAGATTGTTGCCACAAATGTCAGTGGTGATTCCATATTGACACTCCACTGACAGAGATATCCCACGTAGGGGCTCACACTGAGCAGGCACAACTGTGGGATCTGATGCAGAACTTTTGTTTATATTTATCAAATTTAAATGTATGTGGTGCTGCAGCGATCATCAACCATGTGGCTGGATGTGGCTCTTTAAAGGAATCTGTTTGGAGTTTTTTCTTTTAAATATGATTTGACCAGTAACCATCCGTATAAGTGAAAATCAAAACATAAAATTTAAATAATAAAATCAAATCAAATCCATTTTTTAAAACAAGACGGTGTTCCTTTAAAATCTTTTCTTATATTGCCCACTCCAATGAAAATGAAACTTGAAATTTATTTCACGAATGTTAATCTTCGAACCACAAAACATTGGCTACTATTGAAAAAAGGTAATAATTAATATTTGAAAACAAATTCATGCTCTTTGTGAAAACTCCATTTTCTCATTGTTGCTATGCTTCTAACCTGTCATTTGATAACGCATTAGCGTTGATAAAAATATGATGGGATTGTTTCCGTATATTGCTAGCCGAGATTATACTTTCAACAAACCAGTGAAAATGAAACTTGTTGGCCCTATTTGCATTGTACAGAATAGCAACGAGGTCACAGATTAGCACAAGGTCACATGTTCACAGAAAGCTGGGTGGGAGATACACCAATTGCGGCACTTTTTTCTATACACTGAGGGGTGGCCAACCTGGGGGGAGGGGTTTGTGTGTTACCCTTCACGTACCGAAATTTAATTACTGATTTATAAGTATATTCACATGGACATGAGTTTTAAAACTCCTGGACACATTACAAGCATTGCTTGACATTGTATTTGGGAGTTTGTAAAGTGATTCATGTTGGGATTACTGTATTGCCTAAGTACTAGTACTGGTATTAAAAAATTTGAAGGTAGTTTGATCTATTGTTAATAATTATATATTTAAAGACTTAAACTAGGCGATGCTGTGCAGAAAACAGGGAGGGATGGAGAAGGCTAGTTTTCATGTCATCTGTAGCACCCCAAATGTCCAAGGACTAAGGGACATGATAATGATGAATACTTTTGGAAAAAATTAATGTAATAATATATTTTAGAAAAATAAATCTATGTGATCTTTTTTTTTTTTCTTCTGCATAAATCACAATGCAATAATAAATGAGGAATGCACAAAATTAATCTTAATTACAAAGGAAAAGCTCCACCTGTGCCATGCCATTTAACATCTCTATAACTTAGGACCCACTGGTCATCATAACCGCCCTACCCAATGTCCATCCTAGGAAGTTTAGGTCAGTGATTGACTAATCTCGGCTTGTGACCCGAGTGCCGCTTGGCCAGAAATCTGTTTTGCCTCAGAAAAACAGTTTTTGACAAGAAATTTGGTTCTCAAAATTTTTTTAATCGTCCTGCTGCTGATTTTTTAAAACTCTTTTAGATTGAGTTTGCCGACCACTGGTTTAGGTGATCAGGGTGTGCATGAAGTAAAAAAAAAAGTTTGAGAAGCACTGACATATGTTGGTCACAATGTGACTATGGTATGACTTCACAGGACGAAATCACAAGGCCAAGGATTTTTTTCTTTATGACTATAAGCTGGTTCCTTAGACAACAAATCACCTCTCTCCACGCAACTAGATAGCTCAAGGGAACACCATATTTGGATGAGACAGCTTAGCACTAGTTGCGTCGCAGGAGTTTTCATTGCATTATTTTATCCACATACGGGACTCCTCCGGGTTTTGATTCAGTTTCTTTCTCTTAGATGAGTTGCCATCCAAGATTAACGGGTCCCATCCACCTGGGGTGCTGGTGTTGTTTTTGTTACTTGTTCTTTGGTGGGGGCCACAAGCTTAGAATTTGACTTTTATCACCAAGCTACCCATATATTATATAGGCCTCCAATAAACATTAAATGAAAAACAAATGAAATAAAAAGAAGTCACATCTAACAAACACATGCTTTTAGTAAATTTTTATTGGGAGTTTTGTCAATGTTTCATTTTAACATTGGAAAGGGAAGAAGCAAACATTCTTAGTTGTATTTAAAAATTAATAATTATAAGTGCTGATTTGCATAGTGTTTTAGAGAAATCATTTGGGACAATGAATTCTAGAGCTTACCACAGCAACACAACACCATTACCACAATCTCAGTCAACCTGCGTGTTACAACGCAACACAACGCCATTACCAAAATCTATGTGTGTGAGGTATGAACAAGAACATGGCTCAATATAAAACAAGTGTTAAGACACCAAAATAAAAGGCTTTACACTTTTAAAAATATCAGCTCATGTGTAACACGTCTTTAGATACCCTACAGCATTGTCAAATGTCTATTAAGTATATGTATTACACAAGTCATCCTATTCTTTCTCACATTAATAGCTACAACTATTCGTGTCTCTGAGCCAGGAAATGTTGAGGACACATTTAAAAGCCATTGCTTTGAAACTTAAAATGATCTCTTAAAAAGTGACCACTGGGAAAATAATAACAGCAACAACCTTTACTTACAAATGCTAACAAATTAATTTACTATAAAATCAAAAAAGAAAATCTTCATGATGGACAAAAAGCTATTCAGTATAAACTTTTAGGACATAAAACAAAATGTTATGATATTCATACAAATTTATACATAACATTTGTTCATATCTTTAAATAGTTATAATTGGTTTCAATTAATTGACACTTAAAAATTTGCAAAACACAGCAGTAAAATTTTAGCCAAAGAATAATTATGGGGGTGATTTATTATATTGTGTCTTAAAAAAAAAAAAAAAAAGTCCATCTGCCCAGTGTTACCTGCAAAAAGCCTGGCAGAATTTTTGATAAAGCAAGAACTATCATTTGTATTAAAAATTTGGAAAACACAGCAGTAAAATTTTAACCAAAGAATAATTATGGGGGTTATTTATTATATTGTGTCTTAAAAAAAAAAAAAAAAGTCCATCTGCCCAGTGTTACCTGCAAAAAGCCTGGCAGAATTTTTGATAAAGCAAGAACTATCATTTGTGCAATAAGAAAGTAATACTGTCATACCATGCCTAGAGCAATTTTTTAACCTTTGTGGTGGCATACTTTTCAATAGTTCTCAAAAGTTTATATAGTTTGTAATTATCTAAGTGCGTGCAGCAAGCACATTTCCCTGGCACATAATCATTAAACTTAAACTATTGTGTGTACACTGATAAACATGACGTGTTTCAATATGTGAATATGCATACACACAAAATGAGATACCTGATATTTATATAATGAACATTGATATACTTGCTAAAAGCATATAAAAATAAATGAAAAACCATAACTTGATTCAAAATAACTTAGCGCTTAATTTTTTTTTTTTTCTTTACATTAATAAACATTCTTAAAAGGTAAAATTTTCAGAACCTTTAAATCCTCTTGACCCTCAGATCAGAGATGTCATTAAGCAAAGGACTTGGAACAACAGGAAGATAACTTTGCTTTCTTGAAAATCTTGGAGAATTGAAGAGATCTTTATTCTCCTGGTCGTTTGACAAGTCATCTGCTCCATCTGATGTGTCTTCCACTGCTAACTGAAGTGGGGCAGATTTTTTCCCTGAATGATTAGACAATGCTTACAATTTTGAAAAAAATGGAGAAAAAAAAACATACTAATAATTCATATAAAAATAGATGAAAAGGTTTATAGCCCATCAAGAGGAATAAAGATAATTAAGGCGTATTATTTAATTACTATAAAATGAAATTTACCATGTGTATATAGTAACGATCAAATAGTTTGATAGACAACTCTAGTCCAATTTTCAGTTTTACAAGCATAGTACCCAGTACTTTTCATCTTGTCCTACTAAACAAAGCATCACGCAATTCTAATACCCTAATTTATCAGTTGCAAAGGGAATTTAAATTATTCCCACCCATAGCACATACCGAGTATTTTCAGTGTTACCAAGAACTTTCAAACACAACAAAACAAGTCCACTGTCAAACTTAAATCTGAATCATGAACGTAAAAAAAAAAAAGAAGTTTGTATTGGACAAAAAGCTGTCCCAAAGCTTCACAATCGATGATGAGGTGAACCTAAACATTGCAAGGTAGGGCACCCTTTGGCAAAATGACTAAATATGTAAGGACCAGGAGAAATCACCCACCCAAACTAAAATAAGTATACGAGGCGGCTGTGCTCCCTACATTTCAATATCCTTGTGAAGTGTGAATGTCTTTCAAGACCATGCAAAAAAGCTAATCCATTTTGACACCATAAGTCTCAGAAATATACTAAACATCAAATGGCAGGACAAAATCGTAGAAACTTGAACAAGCCGCAAGAACGGCGGAATATCTAAAAGCATATTTTCACCAAGCTCGAGAACAGAGGCCACTGATAAAAACATGTTACACCAACTTTAAACTCTATATTTTTTGTACTGAGAATCCTGTGATGTAAAACTAGCATTTGTTTTATTAGTTATTGAGAAATTAATTCTAGGGCTTCACTGGCATTAAATCTCTTATATGGTAGTTCTACTGATCCGCAGGAAATTAGTGAATAGGCACCAGAAAAAAATATCACCAAAATGGGGATGAAATAGCTAAATGAATTACGAAGGCTCACAGGCCAGAAACTGAAAATCAGTAAGCTGGTATAACTGAATCACGGAAGACACTGTGTTAACTAAGTTGCCATCCTGACTTACTCATAATAAGGTTTAAACAAGGGAATTTAATTTCAGATGAAATGCAATGTACATTAAAACCAACAATAACAAAATTAAAGACAAAATGAGCCGTAAGTGGATAATTTTATGATAAAGTTAACATTAATAACCAGACAAATATGGCGCAATTATAATGAACTCAAACTGTGCTTGATTTTAAGTTAACCACATGTATAGATAAATAACTGCAGAATCTAAATACTAAATGAATATTACTGGGAGCTCTAGGTTGGTTGATTTGCTTTGTCCAAATAAAAATTGGAGGTGTGAATAGGGACCCAGACAGTGGAAACTGGTGGGAATGAGTTAGGTCTAAAAAGAATGGTGAACCAAATGCCTTTAAATACATAGGTTATGAAATATAAAACAAAGAAATTTACTTTTAAACAGGTTTTTTTTATGAACAACAAAACATAAATTTTGTAGCCGAGATGTTAGGCTAATTCTTTTACTTTATTAATATCAGCTTTGAAAGAATCTTTTAACAAGTACAACATTACCTCCATATTTCCTCACAGGACTTGTCACTTTAAAGAAACCCCCATCAAAATGATACTTTTCTTCAGAATTGTTCACCGTGGCCAGATCTGCACGGTCATTCACAACGACGGCTGCTTTAGCTTTGCGCTTATTCATTTCTTGGCGGAAGGCTGCAAAATTGGAAGCAGCCCTGGGTTTTATTATTTTGACAGTTTTTTTCTGAAAGAGAAGCATGGCGGATCTTAAACAAAATGGTCCATAAATTACATGTATAATTCAGGTAATGCATTACTTCAAATCAGGCAATCAAAATTGAAAAAAATCAAGCTGATAAGATTAAAATGTAAATCTGGAAAAAGTACATGGCCTTTTCAAATAAGTCTGAAAATGAAATAAGTGTTAAGAATCAATGATTATTTGGATTTTGTATCAAATGGGAATTATTACAAAACCTACTTTAGTAACTTTTTTGACAGGTGATGGTTGCTTGACTTCCCAATTGTTGGTCTGCAGTTCTACAAGAGCACCAAACATGTGATCTACATCTTGAACCTGTCAGTTGCAAACAACATTTTATTATAATAAATTTTGTATCATTATTGCATCCTGGTTACCGGTACCAGAAGCTCCCAAAATAATACAATGTCATTTCAGAATAGTACTTTACCATCTCAAAATTGTAGAATACTGTATCATAATAGTAAAGAAATAAACAAACATTATAATGTCTACTAATGCAATAACCATTGGCATCAATGGTCCAAAAAAAGGCCACTTACCAAAGACTTTGTCACTTGGATATATGACGGTGGGGTGCGGTGGCAGAATTATTAGACACACGCCAAATAATTTTATTTTTATAAATTCAAAATGCAGGGATGCACTATTGTGTATAACTGAATATAGATTAACATCATTCTGCACTTAATAAATCATAATGCTGTTGGAAAATAAGTTCCCTCTACCTAGCTGTGCCTATATAAATCCTTTTTATTATAACAGTTTCTTAACAGTAATTTTTAAAAATTATTTTTTTTAAAAATTGCTTATTTGAATTATTTTTTTATTTTAATCAGTATGAAAAGGGGCAGGTACACCTAAATGATGCATACTGTCACAAAAGTGATGTATATAAATTTCAAACATGCCTTTATGCCAAGAATGAAGATAATTGCTAATTGAATGAAGAAATAATTTTATTTGTGATACATCCAGGGGGCCACAACTTTTTACAAGGAGGGCCCCTGGTTAGCAACCCCTGCATTAAGCCTAGGAGCCTGATTTTATTTTCCCTTAATATAAAATAATCTAATAACCACAGCAAACTATTGGGAGAAGGGAAGGAGTGCTTGAACCAAACTGGTATATTGTTTAGCTGTTTAGTGACTTACAAAAATCTTTTTAAAATGCCACTTACTAGATATTATAAATTATATCAAATCTAATGCTGCCAAGTCGATCAGTTATGAATGCATTAATAAAAATGAAACAATCCGCTGTTTTCTTTATTTTCGCAATCCCGGTTTAGCAGAAGAACGAAATAATTATGTCGCAAACTTACATCATACAGCTCTGAAGCAAACAAAAGCAAATGTTGACTAAATTTGTCACTAGGGCAACTACGCTAAATATTACTCTTGCTGTATTTAGCAAGTCTGACACATATAACATTCAACAACTAAAAAAGTAAAACAAAGTTTCAGTTTCAGGGTGAATATTGAAGAGAATTTCAGACTAAACGTGGCCTAAGACAAGGAGACTCACTTTTATGTATGCTATTTAACCTTTCATTAGAGAGCTTTAAGAAGCATATATAGTGACACCTTGGGAACAATAGCGGGGTACTTTCTGAAGATCCACAACCAATCGGCACTCTCTACAACCAACCCCTTCATTATCTAGCATATGCTGATGAAATAGCAAAAATTACAAAAAGTGACGGTCTTATTTTATAACCTTTAAAAATATTTAGGAATCTATCCCTTACCCCCTCCCCTTCAGACCCGTACCCACTTTAGTCAACACCACCCTTTTCTTCCCCCTCAGTGTGTACATAATATGGGGGTCCCCAATCAATGTGTCCATTCCATCCTGGATGTAGAAAGAAGTTAAAGCTAAAAACAAAAAAAAACAAAAAGGAGCTAAAATGTAACATACGAAAAAGATATGTTTGTTGAATACATGTACATTTTTTCAACATGGTATCTTAAAATCAATGTGACAGGTCTCAGTATACAATGGTAAAAGGCATCTCAAAATCATATACTAAGAAGAAACCATAAGAAGTCCATAACCCATTTGCTAATAACCAGCTATCCCAAAACAACACCTGTAATATTAAGCAAAGGGAAATCCCTTTGAAATACATGCACGCCCATGTTAGAAAATATGTTTTTGAAGAACATAACCTATTTTAACCAAACATGCTTTAAAACATAGTAATTGAATGCAATTTTTAAAAATGTACTAATTAATATACTTAAATTTACAAATATCTTTTCTATAAAGCATGAAAACAATAAATTTTTAAATTTCCGTTGAATTTTAGAAGCATTGACCCCCATAGTTTGTCATTTACTGAGAATTTAGAGTCTCATGAAGTGTAAAAAAGTAGCAGTATCAGTCCATTGTGTAAACCATGAAACTTTTCTGCGGAAAATTTATATACATGATTTTGTTAATATTCTCAGTAGAAACAGCATACCACTAGGTGTTTTTTCTTCCCTTAGCAGCCTGCCATTGCTCAGCAATATGGTATTTTATGTATATGTTGCTAGGTGTGATGACTCATTTGATCCCATTGGTAGCCCCACTAACTCAAAATACAGGGATCCGACCTGCCAGCATTGCATGCTACCAGAATAAGTATGTCAGCAGCGAGAGGGGGTGGGGGGTATGTACCAATAGTAGCAAATGAGTTAAACAATAAAGATGACTAAAATAAAACCAATAAAATTAACTTTAAAAAAACATAAGAAGGTGACACGATGAGTAAAAAGTTCTAGTCTGTTTATACCTGAAAATAAATCATCTCCCAGAAACCCTGCAGATCTGTGGGTGTGGTTTCTTGTTCACCAAGACCAAATTGGCAGTTATCCACTAAGCCGGAGAACTGTTTGAACCTCTGGTCAATGAGCAGCTGAGCTTTACCAACAGTTGATCTGATCTGACCTTGGACTGGACAAATATTTTGTAATGTTATTTTGCAACAGGTACATTCCACAGCTCAGTGTTTCCCAAACTTATATACTCCACAACCCCCCACCCCCACCCCCCCCCACTAAGACTTTATTTGTATAGTTTTGCACCCCCTATGAATTGCACCCCCAAGAAAAGTAACATTTTATTTTAAATAATTTAAACAATGGACTTAATTTATTTACTGAAAAGCAAAGAGAACTGTAGAAATTACTTGAGACTTATAACAAAAAAGAAAACTAAATGAAGTAATTATTAAAATTATATCATTAACATATATCATTAAAAGTAATTGCTGTTATTAAATCCCTTTCCTCACACCCTCTGATATGCCATCTTGCACTCCAGGTTGGGAAACCCTGCTGTAGCTGAATTCAGAATGATTTATTATACAAATTAAAATATTTTTTCTATAAGAAAATAATTATGGCAAAGTCCTCAAAGAAAAAAACAAAACAAGTAAGTGATTTGTTAGGTTTGTTACCTTATTTTTGTGACCAATTTTTTCTTTAAATTACTATATAGTTTTTAAAATGTATTTGCTTTAGTGTGCCATTTTAAATTTATTTAAAATCTGGTTTGCAGAATGCTAAACAGTTGAAATTTGTTACATGGATGAGTCGCTTTAATTTTCCACATTATTTAACTTATAAATCAGAATTTTTTTGTTGTTTCAATAAAAAATAATTAGTGCCCTATAAGCCACACAAGTGGTTCTCAACCTTCATAATGCAGCGATCCTTTAATACAGCTCTTCATGTTGTGGCGACCCCCCAACCACAAAATTATTTTTGTTGCTACTTCAAAGCTATAGAGTATATATAATTTCCTGTGGTCTTAGGCGACCCCTGTGAAAGGGTTGTTCGACCCCCAAAGGGGTCGCGACCCACAGGTTGAGAACCACTGAGCTAGACCTTCCATCTCAATGCAGAGAAGGAAATAATAGCCCCCTGTTAAGAATAGCTACAGCTAACACTGTACCACTAATACAGGTACTTAAGTAATAACTTTTCTCAGGAAACTAACTTTCTTCTTCCAAGGTAGAATTGAGACGAAGGACTTCATTCCACTTATCACACATTTGGTTCAATCTGCTGGCCTCTGACACAAGCAAATCTCGGTAGTACTTCACTTTCTCATCCTCTGATATAGACAAATTAACAAGTAAAAAAATAGTCATCTGTCTTAACCATAGAGGAACTTGTTTATTTACAATTTTTTTATAAAATTCATTTAATATTAATATATGCTTTTGGGAAGTATATTTTCCTATTGTTTCTAAACTAATACTGTTTTGAAATTGTTTGGTATATGTTAACACGTGAATGAAGTATTATGCTATGAAATAGGGTCCAAGAATATTATGCGCAGTAACAATGTTTGGATATGCAATTTCTAAGTAAATCGTCACTTTGTCATATCATAATCGTAACTATCTCTGAAATAAGTCAGGTTTTCAAAATTTTACAAGATACAATAAAAAATGTAATTTCCAGATATTATTCGCACATTGAGAAAAGATTTTGCATAAGGGAAAAAAATGGCCAGTGTCTGTCTCTAGGCAGAAAGTATGTACATATTTATGCCACAGATTTCTCGTAATAAAACATTTACTCTTCCCTGGTCTATTGTGAAAGTGCATGATAGAGACCTCCTACTAAAACATTCAGTCTTCACTATGCTATTGTGAAAGTACTTAGTACAAAGTGTAAACAAAATTGCAGAAAAATATTACTTTCTGAGTCATTTCCCACTTGTACTGCTGGTACTTCATCAACAAACTGGCCAACAAGCTGTGTAGCAAACAATGAGCTGGATGCTTTCATAAGAAAATAATAAAATGTTATGCTTAAAAAGACAATGTACAGGCTATAAAAAATATAGGAATAAGTAACATTACATTCCTCTTGCTGCCCTCTAAGGATATAACATTTCAGATATGTATGGGCTATCACAAATATAAGAATAAGTAACATTACATTGCAGTGTCTAGCAACAAAATGACCATCACCACTACCATTGCGAAAATGTAGCGGAGTTAATTTTATAGACTTAAATATTTAAACCCCACCCCACAACTAAATCAACACTACTTCATTCTCCTTTTAGGGCAAACGTAATATAATTATAGATGGTCCACAACCAATTATTTTGAAAGGAGCTAAAACTAATAACCGAAAAAGCACTTTTTAATTTTTTTGAATTGGAAAAACTACTGGACAATATATATTTTCAACCCAGTCTCTTAAAATCGTAGTTCTGGCAGGTCTTGGCGTACAAGCGTAAAAGACATCTCAAAATCGTAAAGGTAAACAGGTCTTTATCTACCTAATCTGATGGCCGTCTTTTCCCCATACTCCTTAATATATTTCCTTCTACCTCACCTGATGGCAGCCCCCCCCCACCACCACCACTCCCCATCCCATCATATCCCAAATAAAAAAATTGTTCAAGAGAAACATAATCAATGTTACTTATCAATTAAATAAGAATTTTACGTGGGGATGTCAAGAAGCGTGACATATTTCAACCCTGTTATAAAGAATTTTTTTTTTTTTTTAAATAAATAAATGAATTGAAATTAAAAGCTGAAAAAAGAAAAAGAAAAAAAAAAGAATTTCCTACCTGTGTAAAAATGAAAATGATTAGCAATAAAAAACAAGAAGCACAGAAAATTCTTTAAAATAATAATTAAGCATTCAAAAATTTTAAGTACAGGCAGTTCTTGATAAATATCAATATTTGATTGATAAACATTATAGGCCCAGAGAATCACACAATGGAAACAAAATAAATTAAGTTTTTAAAAAAAATGTGGGTCAAAAACTATTGTAACTTCTTTCTTAGTATATTTTTGCTTAATAACACGCTCAGACATGATAAATATCCTTTAAGTTTAAGACCATTTTCATATTAGCTTCCCAATTTATACATAAGTGAGCATTAACCCTTGAACTCTTGGTGCATAGTTTTTAAATGCCCATGAACAGTTACACAAACAAACACAAAATTCTGTGATTATAAAATGATAAATACATTTTCTTCTAGTAGTCAATTTAAAATGAATAACTGGGAGAATATTATTATTGAATAACTGTAAAATACAGTTTCACCAAACTTTCATAAAAATTAGGGCTTGGCATAAATATTACTGTTAATTCTCTATTAATTCTCCAAAGCACAAATTCCATCACTAGCACCAGTGTCAAATGATTGTCACAATCTATGTCTGAACTCATTATAATCCATTTTCAAAACATTATCAATTATCATCTCACTCAGGTTTCAGTCATAGAAATTTTACTTTTGATCACATGTATGCATCTAAAGCAGTGCTGTCCAACCGTGGCCAGCATGCAGCCGCGAACCGATTTTAATTGCACATCAAAGGTTGAGACATTTCTATGATGTGTAAAATATATTTTATTACATGTTAGGTTGAAAATATTTTCTAATGACATTCATTGATTCAGTATCGTAGGGAAATCACAGAGAAGCTGTAATATGGAAAAAGTATTTCATAATAAAGTTCTGTGTATTGCATGTTACAATCTTCTTTCTTATCATTGGCAATGCCTAGCTTCACTATAGAACAACCACACTTGGTCCCAACTTAAGAGCAACAGCAACGTTCAATCAAAGCAATTATAACTGCTCTTTAGGAGCCAGAATGATCAATTCATTGATCATGGGCCCTAAAAATAAAGAAGAAGAAGATTTACAGGATCTTATCACAGTAACTGGCAGTTCACAATACATCCTTTATAAAAACCTCATTACACCGACACGACTCTCATCTCACTATTTTTACAGCATTTGTGATAATAACATGCTATTTTCAGGATGATTATTGTAGTATTTTTTAATACCACACATACTTTCTACAGAGATGACACCCCCCCCCCCAAAAAAAATTACGAAAATGCTGCAATGTTAATTTTATCATTGACTTAAATACTTAGACCCCCCCCCCTTTTTTTAAAAGAAAAATCTCCTAAATCAACACCACTACATTCCCATCTCAGGGCTAACGTCATATAATTAAAGATGGTCCCCAACCAATTGTATCTGTCGATCCATTCATTACTGGGTGTAGAACGCAAATTAAAACTAACAAAAAATGTAATTTATTATTTTTATTTTAATCAGAAAAAACTACTGGAATATATATATTTTTTCAAGCTGGTCTCTTAAAATCGTAGTTTTGACGGATCTCTGCATACAATCGTAAAAGAAACCTCAAAATTGTACATTTTACGCCAAAATCGTAAGAGTAATCAGGCCTGAAAGCAGCAAACATGGGGTGAAATGGGTTATTGTCTTCTCATTCTTTATTCTGATTGTATAGGAAAGATGTCAGGGGTATCAGGTATAATTACTAATGGCGTTGGGAAATATGAACTAGGAACCAAAAAGTAACTTAGTGTGTAACTATTTGGTCATCTTAAAAATTCCATGCCATTACAAAGGGGACCAAACTACATTAATTAGATGAGCACCGCAAGTTAACGACTACGCTTTGTAGGATGATAATATGACAGGAAAGTCTGCCAGTCAGAGTAAACGAGATGGGAGTACTAGAGTACTATCGGTGCCACAAATGACTACGGAGGGCAGTGCGGATCATTTATGGTAATGTGTTATTGAAACAGCAGTCTAGCCAAGTAGGGGGGAGGGTTTGTTGGGGGACAAGTAACAAGTTTCCAGAGAATGAGACGTTCAATGTGTAGTAAATAGGACACAAGCTGTGTTTGTAGTGAGCTCAATTCAGTAAAGTGGGAATCGTGAGAGACAGTAGGAATGATTCTTGAAAGTATTTTATATATATAAAAAAATAATAACTCATGGCCAAATAAATTCTGGATGATATGTTTCATCCGATGAATTTTCACAACTATGGAAATGTAACAAAATGTTGACCATGCCTTTGGAAGCACCTAGGTAAGTGAAGCTTGATTCTCTGTAATAACTAACAAGTCCAGATAATCTAATGCTTTGACAGGTGAACATTTAGAAAATCTAACAAGGCCAGGTGATACTTAAACTATCTCAAATTAGGAAGCAATTAAGCACAATTCAAATCCCAATATCACATTAAATAAGTGCCACAGACTTTATTTTCTTTATTTATGGTCATAATGAGCAAATAATGAAAATGGATTTATGTTTCTTTAAGCATAAGGTGAGAAGTATTAATAATGTTACAAATTTTTGAAGTATTTTTTAAAAAATCACTCTTTTAAGAGATGTCATGTGCGGCCCTTGGCTTCGCGGCAATAAAATTTTTGGCCTACAGAGTCAAAAAGGTTGAGCAGCATTGATCTAAAGAAATTTTACTTTTTTGTCACATCTATACTTCTAAAAGAATTCTGCTCAAACAGAACAGAAGTGACAGTCAGAAATCAGGTGGTAAACTGTAACCTCAATATTGACCACATTTTTGTGGATCAAATTCAGGGAACTGAGCAAATATTTTGTTAATATAAAATTTTTATGGATTTCTGCAAGGGCATGGATTTTTAACACACAAAATTAAGTGTGATCTTGGGTTCAACAGCTTAATTAAGGTGGTTTGATGCCTAACAAAAAAGAAAAAAACTTGCACAACCTCTAGTTAGAGTACCGGTTTTTAAAACAAGAACTGCCTGTCATAGAATAAAATTTGATACCAACATTTCCTCTGGAGACTTGATTTTAACACTGTCTGTCTTTCGCCTTCCACTCTTTGCTTTTATAGCAGACACTGGTTGACAAGGGGTTTTGAATGTTGAAGGTGTGCCAATTGATAGTCCCCTGCTTCTAAGTACTCTTGGCGTGACTGGGGAGCTAATGGTGCTTAATGCTGTACTTGAATCTATTGGTAAAGAATGTTTAGGTGGTGTGTCTAGGTAAGACAGAGTTCTTTCACTAAAGGATTGTGATGGTATGAAGGCCTGTGTAGTTTCAATGTTGTCTATGGATGCAGGCTGCTGCTTCTTAAAAGAGGATTCACTTGTAGTCTCATCCAGGGGGACCTTTAAAATAAAACAATTTTTAGAAACTTAAAAATTTTCTATCTTTAAAATCCAAATTTTAAATAAGTAATGCAAAGCTTTTTTTTGTTCACGATCACTGAATAATAATCTTAAAATCGCACAACAAAATTGTGTATAACCTAACAAGCATCAATAAGCTGACTTCTCAAGACCGTAGCTCTCATACCCAGGTCCGTTACGTGCAAATACTCTGCGTGTCCGGGTCAGCATCCCAGTTCAGCTCTAGTAAAAGGTTGAAAATCAATGTCTTAAACTACCTCTATATAATTTCTTGACTATATACTCTCACCTACCTCTATAAAACTGACTTCACCGTCCATCTTTTCAACAGCCAGTTCCTGCAAAGGACGTGATGAGCCATCAGACAATGCTGGTTTCTTCACATGGTACACAACATCAACCTGTGGCCCAGACACTGTCATAGATGTTACTTCATCACTGACCTTTAACATCACTGACTTCCTGGATTTTATTTTTCTTCCAGACCGATTTGGAGAAAACGAGTTACTGACATCATGATATTCGACATTAGGATGAAACTCTTCAATGATGTTTTTCCCTGCAATGATTGATCTCATAGTCAGCCTTGTTTTGTTAAATGATTTATTGTTTTAAGTTTTTTTTAGAATGTATGAATAAATAATCAATTTGATCAAACTGTTTCTTTTCGTAAATAGTTGTTTAAAATTTGGCAAAATCAGAAAGTTAATGTTGTACAACCCCTAATAACACAGTTTTTCGTATAAATCCTATATAAAATGTAATATCTGGCATTAGGGGGTGGAGCTAAAAATTTGACAAAACAAGTAACAACCTTTATAAGAATCCCAACCACACATTTTTTTCAATGACCCACCTACTTTTACACAGCAGATTAATTTTACCAAAAATTTGAGAAAAGCAAAAGAAAATGTTACCAACCAAATGCAGTTTTTAAAAAGAATCTCATTTAACGCAGTTATCGTGAATTTTATTTTATCTTCCCCTTGAAAAACAGATTTTTGGGGGTTCAGATGTAAATTTCAAAGAATGTGCTATCAGTAACGAGACCATGTGCCAATTCTCAGCTCGATAGATAGATAAGAAGTGTGTCATTAATTAGGCATCCAAAGATTTTGCCCGCAAGCCAACCACCCATGAACAAAAGCAAAGTTAATATTAAAGGATTTAAAAATAGGAATGATCTCAGATGATACATTTTCTCTCATCTAAATTATTAAAAAATCCAGACCCCAGAAGTAAACCTTTACTTGAAGCTTTTCTATTCAGAAAAATTAAAATCATAGAAATTCAAACATACCATTAGCATCAGTTGTCCCTTCATCACTAACAGACACCACAACAGAGCGAGAACTTTTTCTCCCTGAACGTCTTCCTTTACTTCCCCTAGAACCAAAACTTGCCCTGGGACTAAATTGGATATTTTCTGATTCACTTTCTGTGGTACTAGAATTTCCAGTGCTTGCTGCTAATGCTCCACGTCTTAGGCTCTTTCTAGTATGATATTTCTTATCTACTTTAGCACTTTTTAAGTCAACATCAAAATTGACCTGTTTATCCAAGCCAATACCATCATTAGACAATGTTTCATCGTCAAGATATCTTTTTTCTTGAGCAACTGACTGCTTACGCCTTTTAGCGGGGCTTGTCATTTCTTCCTCGGATCCGTTATCAATCAAGGCGGTAACACTAGATTCCAGACGCTTTTGTGGAATTTGAACTTCCACATTTTCATCATTTTCTCCAGCAAAGGTGAACTCCTGTTGTTGATTTTTCTTGGATACAGAATTGCTCAAAATCTCACTCTTGCTATCTTTTGGTGTTGTATCACAAGTTTTATGATTTTGTACATTACTCATAGTCTTAGACTTTCTTCTCTGTGAAGATCTTATGTTCATCGAGTCGTGACCATTTTTTTCTAGACCTTTGTCACCCATAACAGGGGCATCAGTTGAACCCAACCGAGTTATCACTACAGAAAAATCCTGTCCAGCAGACTCTGGAGATGAACATTGTGCTGCACTTTTAATTAGTTGTCCAGCGTTTTCTTCAGAAAGACAGTTTTCTTTGTCTTTCCTGTTAACCTTCCTCTTCAAGGATTCACTGGTCTTGTTATGTCCAGGTGCAGTCAATGTTGGTGAGTTCTTCACCTGTGAGTCTTGTTCTGCTGTTGTTAATGGTGTCCTGTCTTTTTCAGGAAGCTGATCCACAGGTTTTTTAGGGGTGCAATGGATGGCAGAAATATTTCGACTTGATCTTCGAGGAGTCTTTTTTTGGTGAGGCGCACTGTGCCTAGCTGCTGGTGTCTTTCTGTACTTTTTACCTGATGTACTTCTCAGGCCATTACTTGATATTCTTATTCTCCTAGGCGTTGAATGCTTAGGGGTGGACACATTTGAATCCGATAAATGCAGTCCTGAAACATAAGCAAAAATTGCATCAACAATTTCTTAATATTTCAACCAGTTTTAGCACAGGATTGACATTTATTTCTAACTCAAGTGAATTTGTTTCCATCCTACACCTAGCGCCATAGAGTTCCCAGCCTATACCAAGCACTATATTGTGCCCATCCTATATCTACCACAATAAAGGGATTTCCTAAACTTCTTTTATAAGTATCTTCTACTATCTACCTTGTTCATTTTCAAAAGAAGATGTTTCTAGATGACTTGCACCAGCACAAACAGCAGCACACTCAGATAACTTTCTATTAGGGGCTACATCTTTGTCTTTTGGTAATCTGGGTGAATCTCGCTCTGGGGAGCCATTCTTAGCTTCTGAAAACAAAGTCTTAAATGATTGGGACAACTGTCTAGATCATTAAATGAATGGGAAAACTGCCACAACCACTAATTGACAGGGGAAAACTGCCTAAACCACTAAATGATTGGGGAAAACTGTCTAGACCATGAGATCATTGGGAAAACTGCCTAGATCAGTAATTTAATCTGTAATTAATTTATTAATAATACAATTTTCAAGCCGTGTATTTAGTTATTTAATTATGCAGACATGATAAAGTCCGAAAGTGGAATCTAAATTATTCTATTGAACTATGTAATTCTGAAATGAACAGATGATCTATATTTGTTAAATTGTGAAATCCAATACAAAACCATTCATACGTCTATTGATTAAATAATAAATTTGAAAATACCACTTACTTGTCTTTGTACCCTTAGTTGGCACATTGACATGAACTTTGGCTCTCAAAAACTCTTTGGGTTTTCCAAGGTTAACCTGATTAAAATTGTTTTAGAAAGTATTGGCAAGTTTTTAAAATCATGTTTATGTGGGAGGTAAAACTTTGTGTACAAGTCACAAGACAATTTTGCCTAACCCATTTTAACCAGTAAGTAGGCACTTTGATGAAAATTTCTAAACATTTAAAAAAATATAAAACTACTACAGCTGTATAGAGCCAATAGAGTGGTTTACAAAAACACCAAGATCAACTTTCTAGCTCAAGTGGTTCAAAAGTTATGAATTTTTTAGTATGGACCTCAAAAGCACTTTTTCACTATGGGATTTTCCTCCACATTTCGTCCCCCTTATATTGCTATTGTTTTTATGCCTATAACTTTGTTATAAAATGAGACAAAAATATAATATTTACAGGGAACACAGTTAAATATGAGTTCTTCAAAATTAAGGGGGGACCGGTAGTCAACTTTACGTAAAAATCATGTTTTTTTTTTTTTTTTCAATTTTCCAAAAAGTGTATATTTGGTTACAATAACCTCTTATAAACACAATCCACAAATAAAATTTGCTAAAAATAATTGTTCTAAGTACATAATTTGTCCTAATATAACACGTATCTAGGCAACCATTTCAGGAAAATCGGCTTTCCGATACGTTATGGTCATTTTAAAACCCTTTACAACCGCATTCCTTCAAGCCTAATGCCTATTGTTAGGCCTCTTTGGAAAGCTTAGACCACTGGCTACAACTTTGACCTACTTATCTCAAAATCATTCTACCTAACAAAGAGAAGCGAGCTGTGCAATACGTCACATTTGTTGTAAAAGTGTGTTTAGACGGCTTCTACGTCATCGTGTAGTAAAGCCTGTAATTTCATTGGTCAACTATAAGTAATGTTACCAAAAATAGCACAAATTGGGTTACCGTATACCGAAATGCAACACGGTTACTTTCGTTTCGCAACCATTCTGTGTTGATAAAACTATCCACCGTTTGTCAGACTTACATTGGATTTATCAAAGGCTGCTCTTTTCGTGCTCACTATATTTGTTCAATAACAAGCCAAAGGTAAATATGGATGTAGTATGATTTACCATTTCATTATTAAAAATTGTTTTAGTAATAGTACTAGTATCAGTATCGTCAACGTCATGCTTTCTCACGTCAGTAGTGACAACCTACCCATACAAATTATTATAAATACAAGGATCATTTCAGTTCTGAAACTAACTAAATTATAAATTATATATATATATACTTGTTTCAAAGTTTTAATATTTAATAACTATCATTAACCAGATATATTTTATTATGTGCTTATTTACTTGTCAAGAATTGAGTGTAAACTAAAAAAAAAAAAAAAAAATTTGTTTGAGGTTAGTTATTTGAAAGGTGTGTGGGTGTTGTTGGGTTTGATTGACGTCTCTCATCATCAACAATTTAAAAGATAAGGAATTAACCACTTCATTTGTAATCCTTTCTTTACCTTGATGACTAAAATTAAATTGTTCTGATTTATTTGCAGTGAAATGGCACCAAGAAAACAAGCAGCGATTCTGCGAGCCAAAAGTACAGCTTGCTTCGAACAGGTACTACTCTTGGAAACATGGTGGCAGTAGAATCTAAGAGTGCCATGACACCTGATGCCAGGTGGGTGTAAGTGTAAGACTGGAAGTATTGTAAGGTTTATATCATAATGATATATAATTGTTTTTTTATATTGTCATCTCTACAGGCCCCACGAACAGCTGCTCAATATATTATCTATCTGCATTTATAAAAAAAAATGTAATGCTGTTACTATATTTATTGTTGATGGAGCAAAGTGTAATTATATATACATTTTTAACAGATAAAATGAATCTTCAGCAGTGGCTCTGTGAGAATGCAGTGGCCATCGAAAGTTACAGATGAAAAGACCTTCGGAGGAATATTCTGACATTTTCCGCATGCTTGCAGCTGCCTGGCCTGATGAGAACCCTAAACACCATGACTGCCCTACTGGAAAGACATGTTACTGTTGGCAGTCAGCTATTGCTCAGAAGAGGTTCCACAACACATAAGAGGAAAAGAGGCAGTTTTATCTCAGAGCAGATTTATTTAAATTTTTCGCATTTTTTTTCTTTGGGGGGTGGGCTAGAGAATCAGTTATATTTTTTCCACAGAAAGACTTTTTAAATATATTTTTGATGTATCATATTTTCAAGAAGCCAAGGTGATATAATAATATAACTTTATGCCACTTTAATTATTTGAAAAATAAATTATTTCAATAATAAAACTTCTTTTTGCATTTTCTCATTTGTGTCAATTTTACGAGGGTCAGGTTATTGGAAGCAGTGTATCTCAGAAACAACCTATCAGATTATAAAGAAATTTGCACCACATGTTCCTAACATGTTTATCTACAATGTGATAGAGGGTTTTTATTCTATTTTAAGAGACAAAAAAATTATTTTGAATTTTGATAGAACAGTTTACGTAAATGATGGATTATTTTTTGACATAATTTTAAAAAATTCACAAAAAAATTATTTTTTCAGTTATGCTAATTTCCTTCTATCACATTGTGCAATGTCCTATTTTTAATATTTATGCCAAGTTTCATTGAATTCTTATTGGTGGTTATTGAGCTACGCTGTTTCCTGTAAGTATATAAAATTGCTCAATTTTACCCCTATTTTCTCATCAAAAGCATAAAAAAAATAATTAATTAGTCCCAATTGGTTTTTTTAAGTGTTTTTATTGCTTTTGCAATGTGATTAGCAAAAAATATTCTGTCTTAGTCATGTGTTTAAAATTTTAGCATTTTGACTACCTGTCCCCCCTTAAGCCACAAAATACAATTGTAGCTTTTGTTAATATTCTGCAAAAAAATATTTTTAATCTTGATAATTTTCCTTATTAAAATGTATCAAATATGCTGACTCGTCACTTATTTGTATTTAATTAATATATTTTTTAAAAACACATATATATTAAATTTCCCTAATTTAGCAAAAAAATATTTTTAATCTTGATAATTTTCCTTATTAAAATGTATCAAATATGCTGACTCGTCACTTATTTGTATTTAATTAATATATTTTTTAAAAACACATATATATTAAATTTCCCTAATTTTATAACAATAATAATATTCTTTAGATATTAATTTCAAATTTTCAATGGAATTGTTTAACATTTATAAGTATCAAATAATAATACAGGGATTATTTGATTCCTTTATCTAAAATTGACAATTATACTTTTTATTTTTCCATTTTCTATATATGTATTTTTAGTCTCATTTGAATATGACCAAAAAAATAGCAGATTCTTTATTTTAAGTTAGTAATCTTGTTTCACAAATCAAAATGTATCAACTTTGACAGTTGATAGAAATTAAAATAAGTTCTAGTCATTTGCTTGAGGTAAGTACAAGCTTTTATGATTATTCTTTAATAATATCTTAAGAAATTCTTGGATCACTGTGGCAGAGTGTGTTATTTCTTGAATATTGAGGATTATATTATATAATAAGTTTCTTGTGGAATATTGTGATTTGTGAGTGAATACAGGATATTTCAATATCAAAGGTAAGTGAATATTTACATTTTTAATTTTATTTTAAGAATCATAATGTTTATTAAAATATGATTAGGCCTACATAGCCATAAATATCATTTACCTATAATAGATTCTGCAATAACAAGTTGGGATGTCACTAGGTCTATACTAGGCTTAAAGGATATATATATATATATATATATATATATAAATAAATATATATATATATTTTCCTACTGTAAGTGTAATAATGCTACTAAGGCTAGGGTTATTTATCCCACTCCCCCAATTAATACCTCAAAATAAAGCATCAGATAATATTATAAATAGGTATTTGTGCTAGTAAATTGTTGCTTTGTTTTAAAATTAGTTATTAGTGGGTAATATGCTGGATTTCCAGTGTAAATCAAGTTGCTTATTACAAAAACGTCCATTATCGATAATAGGTAATTTTGGGACACATGTGACAAAAATTTTGCACACAAATTTCTCACCCATGGCGGGGTCCTAACCTCACGAATTTTGGATATGTTGTCATTTATGCCTACATCTAACATTGGTATTTTCTCTTTTTAAACTTATATTTTCCAAAAAAAAATTATGAAAGAGTCAAATTAGCTATTATTTACCATTAATTTTTAATGTCAAACTGTCAAATTTTTTCTTAAAGAAAAGTGTCACATGAACAACAAACATGTCTGCTTTAAGTTGAGGGCAGAAATAGAATTTAATAACAAAACTAACTTTAGCAAAAAAATCTTAAACAACACAACCCTCGGTAAATTAAAAAGTGGAGGTCGCCATTTTGACAACGAAATCACGATACCCGGTTTTCGGCACTTCCCGGATCATACCGAAGTCCCTACAGTAAGCTTTTCAAAAAGAGTGAACTTGGGTCCTTGGGCTCATTTTATATTTCAGTACAATAGGGCAACAGCGATTAAGTGAACTTATTAAAATGAAAGGAAACATTTAAATTTATAATTACAACAAAGCATTAACAAAAGTTTAGAATACTAGTTATATGCAAATCAACAATAGCTAAAGATGTAAAAGTCACTTTAGGTAAAGAGAAAATTGCTCAGAAACAAATATAGTTTACACAGTGTACAAAATCATTTTAAAAACACTGTTTTCTTTTATAATATTTAGTTGAACTAATACAAGACTACCTGACAAGAATGCTATTTTTATATCATTTATACTGTATTCCCAAATAAATTATTAATAAACAAACTGTTTTCTTGTATAATATTTCATTGAACCGTTACAAGACTACCAGCCAAGAATGCTATTTTTATATCATTTATACCGCAAGACCAAATAAATTATTATTAGGATCAGAAATACAAATTAATTTTGTATTCCCATTTTGTCTCAATGTTTAATCATAAAGTGAACTCTGCCTTTCTCTTTCTACTACAGCAGTGGTTCTCAAGAGTCATCTGAAAATATCCCAGGGATCGCTTGAGCGATTTAAGTTTCTCATCACAACATTTTGTTAACTTTATGACATTGTAAGACTTTCACTTTTTAGGTTGCTCTAAATTTGGTAGCTTCCATCGACATTATTTCGCTTTTAAATATATTTCTTATTTAAACATTTCAATTCAATTTCATTATGTATAAAGAGAATAAAAATAAATATTAATGATAAAATATTGATAAGTCAATTAGTCAATACCCGCCCCCTTAACTTCTCAAAACAAGTTTTATTTATATTGAGTAATATTCCTGGTTGTCGGTTGCCACAACTTAGCACATGTTTTTAAAAGTAAGAACAAAACATTAATATTTTACGAATGCCATCAAAACCAAACAATTTGTATTAGAATTATAAACAAAGATATACGGAACTGCCATGATATGACACAAAATGTTAAGGAGCCTTTCCACCGATGTGTGTGGTAATGGTACCCGAGAAAATATACTTTGCCATCTTTTGGGATCAAAGTGATTACAATAATTACATACTGTAATTGAAATTTTACCTTTGCTTTAGCAGCCTCTGTAAGTTTAGTGTAAAGTCCAGATGGTTTCTCCTTAGTCTTATCTTTCTGGGAGCCGACTGTGGCCCCTGAGAGTTTCTTCGTCTCTGCAACTGTTTTGACAGCACCTTTAGTAGTTGTAGATGCCAGTTTTGTATTGGAGCGAGTTATCCTATTGGAGCTAGGTTTAGACACTTGTACAATGGGCTTAACAGGGTTTTCCTTCAGTGAATGGGTTACTCGCTTACTTTCTGTTTTACCGGCTGATACATTATCTCTTTTCAATGACTCTTTTGATGAAGGTTTGGCACTTTTCAACATTGCACCAGCAGGTGTAACCTAAAAAACAGTTTTTATAACAATAAATAAAACACATTGATTTGAATTTTAATAAATTAAACTTTTTAACATCAATATATTAATTAAACAGTAGAAAAGCATTTTCTGGAGGCAAAGAAGTGGACTAAAATATAAAACTTTGAATTAAAAGTTAACATTAACATGTAGGCTAAGATGCTAAATTTCTTTGGTATAAAACAGATTAAAAATGTAATTAAGAATTATCATATTTTGTACAATGTACAAATTGAACTGACATTTATAAGAAAGGAAACATTTAATAAAATGTAAGGGAAAACCTGAAAAAAGGATGTTTCTTGCTGACACTCTTTCTGTTGCGCCCTTTTTTCATGTTTTCCCCTGCCTACCAAGTATTAAATATTTCCTTTTACCAAACCTGATCAGGGTCTCCCCCCCACCCTCCTCCCACAATCCTTTGTAAAAAAAACAATACTGTTTAAAGTGCCCCTTAAATTCTACTGATAACACTAACCTTTTCCTTTCTAATAAACAAGTCACTGTTGATAGAGCCCTGTACATTTGAAGAAACTTTGAACATTGGTTTTTTTAAATTCTTCGCTTCCTCACGCTGCTTTTTTTTTTCTTCTCTCCACTTTTTCAGACGGTCAGCTAGACTTTCTGCCTTTTTGTGTGGAGAATGTGCTTGAAAAATATTTAAAATAAAAATGGACTTTTTATTTATTAAAAAAACAACAACTGATATCTAAATTTGGCTATCAAATGGTCAGAACAGCACCCACTGATTAATGTTAATGGGTTGCTTAATGGTAAGTTAAGTCCAAGACATGATTACCACCTGCTCCTCAACTAAAAAAAATATGTGATTAAGTCATTTGCCTGCGTGAAAGATATCACAGGCCCTACCTCTAACTTAAAGTAACTGTATTTTAGACATCGAGTGTTACAGTAACTGTTACAAATTTTAAATGTTTTAATAATAAATACAAGGCAGTGTCTACACGTCCGGCGACCGGACAAATAGTGCGGGAGATATTCTTCCAGCGGGCATGTCATGTGACCGCTTGACGACTAGTGTGTTATTATTCCGGCAGACATGTCATGTGAAAAGAGGTCGCCAGCAAAATAAAATAAAAGTCCGTTATCTTGGTTTAAATATCTTAAAAGCTCTACCTAGTAGCCTAAATTTGAAATGAACCAAACAAAATAAGACCAATACTTGCCAGTTGACTGTCAATAGATCTACTGTTAAAAAGTTTTATTTTAGACTATTAATATTGCGTGAGAAGTTGGCACACTATATTGGCCCTATTTTTATATTAAGATGTAGTGTCTATTTCTATGTGAACTTTCAACCTCCCCGCCTTAATCATTTATCACCCTCACTACCATTTTTATCCTTTCTCGCTCTCAGTATTTCTTCCTTTTAGTATGCATTCAAGTAGCATTGCTTCCCCCCCCCCCCCATAAAATAAGGGTTTACCCCTCGCCCCCCCCCCCCCCCCCCCAATGGATCTACGACGCCAGTTTTATTATCGACTATTAGCGGTCACGTGACAATCCTGACTGACAGATATCTGGCCCAAATTTGTTACAGCGGTCATGTGATCTGGTCGCCGACGAATATCTCAAGAATCATTCTTCTGTTTGCCGGACATGTAGACACTTCGATTATACAAAGGCTATGACGTTTGTGTTAGTACTGTTAGGTTAGAGTTAGCGTTTTAAATTTGTTGTTCCATGCCTGGCCCTGTTTCTAAATTTTTTTTAAGCATTCAATCATGATTCAATAAGATCCATGACATATGACTATTTAATAATGTATTTACATTTTCTTGAGCTGAGGGAGGTAAACAATGGGCTTGAATTAAGTTGAATTTGAATAGAATGGGCTATGATTTATTCAATGAATTGCCTGAATTGTGGAGGGCAGGTTGAATGAAAGTTAGACACTGAGAGTTGTCTCAGTTGTTCATATGACAAGATAAGAGGAAGGAGTAGGCAGTAGGTCACAATTATTTCTGAAAAATTTACCATTTTTGGTTAGCCCCTTAACTTTTGGGCTAATACTAGCAGTAATGAAGCCAGACTACTACTACTGAGACTACTGTATGTAGTAAGTGGTGGCCAGTTAATTTTAGTTTATTTTTAGTATGAGTAGCCTAAGTAAAAGTGAAGATGTTTTTAAAGCCAATTAACAAAATATATCGATCAGTACCTAATATTGCATGATCATGTCCATCTTCGGTATTGTGGTCTTCTTCAACGATTGAAATATCATTCGAGACATGTCTTCTTTTATTGACTTCATCAGCACGTAGCTGTTTTCGTTCAATACCTCTAGACTTTCGTCTACTCATTGTCGTGTTTTCCTCTTTCAATTTCGGTTTGTACATTGATCTGAACGTTTCCGACGCCATATCTATTCCACAATGAATTAACCCACAATAGTTAGTCTAATATGAATGTATACACAAGTTCACTCCCTGGTATCATGTAAATCAAAATTCAGATTCTGGCGCTCGAACGCCCGTATGTGGCTGTGTTTTAAGAAGTGTTACTATCTGAATTAAAGTATCGTCACTTTTTCAATTTGATTGGTTGACTCTTTTAGCTCATTATGGGAAGTCACTCTTACTGAAAAAATCCAACTTCACAAATTTTATGTTAGTTACTAATTTTTTTAGGGCTGTATAAATATAACTATATTTAAAACGTGAAATTAAAAAATAAAATGAATGAAATTCTAAACATTTCTTTTAATCGTTTACAAATAAATAATAAATGCAATTGGCAATTATAAACTAAAGGGCGAAGCTGTGGTTATACATTTCTTGTAATGACTTTTGAATAATTCATGATTGTACACCGGTGTTTCTCTCAGTATAAAAAAAAATGTTTAAATTTCCAAAAGCAAAGCAAAATGTTAGATCTATTTTAAAAAAAAAAAAATCTAATCTAATTGTTCACTTTTATAAACATTTTAAAAGAGTAGTAAAAGATAAAATTCTCAGATTCAGCTCATTCCTTTGCATATTTTAATTATTTATGAAAAAATTCTCAAAATCTTGTCAAGATTCAGTTCAAGCTTCGAATTAGCGAATAAACAAACCCAATACAGGCCTATTATTATGAGTAAGGTCGATTATATTGGACTGAAAAAAATTTAAATGATGGGACCAGTATAGTGGGACGGGCCGGCGCTAGATATGTTTAGGTTGGGTGAAAATAGGCAATTGTTGCCCTCTGGAAAATTATGGGAAGAGTTCAGAATTATTTTTTTTTTAAAATCAAATTTTGCCGCCTTGGCACCTTTGTGATGATCACGCATCGTACCCGCCTTGAGCCGGCCCTGATAGTGTGGCAGTAGCGTCACTAGGGTTGGTGTGGCCCAGTGCGATAAACTCATGGTGATATCCACTCCAGACTTCCCTTTGATGGACGACCCCCCCCCCCCCCCCCCCCCCCCCTTTGATGGACGCCCCCCCCCCCCCCCAGGTCTGCTTTATCTCGTGGCAACCTATTCTGATTGCACCCTGCTCTGGTTGCAACCTGTTTTGACAGACACCCTTTGTGATGGTGTCAATTGGTACAGGTCGCATCCCAGATGACGCCTCTGCATACGATTATGTTATACCATTTTTTTCTGAAGTAGTAGATTTATTACCCGCTCCGGCCATCATGCCATGCCATCGATGATATGGAAAATGCACTAGCTGCCCCAAAGACACCCATTTTTAATGGCAACCTTTTTTTTTCTGGTGGCATTCTGCTCTTGTACCGCCGCGAGCGAGCTCTGCCAATCTTGCAATAGTCCAGTAGATATGGGTGGGCTTGATGTTACTGACTTTTTAGCCAAAGAATTACGGTTGTTATTTGTATACAATTATATCGTTTGCTCATTATATTTTTAAGAGACTTACACATTATATAATAGCCCGGCATTTGAGTGATTCTGTGATATTTACAATCAATTTTTATCCGCGATCTTCCGTTAACTGGTCCTATCGTATTGAGAAAAAAAAATTTACATGTCACATCATGCGGACAATTTGAAGATTTGGTATATTGGTTATTTTAAGATTTGGTATACTAGTCATTTGAAGATTTGGTACACTTGTCATTTGGAGATTTGGTATACTGGTCATCTGAATATTTTATTCTACTTGTCATTTGAAAAATTGATTTTACTGGTCATTAGAAGATTTGGTATACTTGCTATTTGAAGATTTGGTTCTACTGGTCATTTGAAGATTTGGTATACTTGTAATTTGAAGATTTGGTTCTACTGGTCATTTGAAGATTTGGTATACTTGTTATTTGAAGATTTGCTATACTTGTCATTAGAAGATTTGGTATACCTGTCATTTGAAGATCTGGTATACTGGTCATTTGAAGATTTAGTAAATTTGTCATTTGAAGATTTAGCTACTTATCATTTGAAGATCTGGTATACTCGTCATTTGAAGATTTAGATACTTGTCATTTGAAGATTTGGTATATTTGTCATTTGAAGATTTGGTATACTGTTCATTTGAAGATTTTATTCTGATAGTCATTTGAAGATTTGGTTTTCTTGTCATTTGAAAATTTGGTATACTTGTTATTTGAAAAAAGAATTTAAAAAACGCATTAAAGAAAAAAAGTTTAAAAAATCCGAAAGATATATAATTTTTCATTATTAGAATGACGTCACCCAACGGAAGTAAAGGAAATTTGCATTACTTTCAATGGAGATTTTTATTCACTTAATATTTAATTAATATTAGAAATGCAATATGTGGAATAAAATTAATAGATGGTATTGTAAAAAAAAATAATTTTATCCGAAAATAATTCCAGTAAAATGTATTATTAATATAACCATAACAACAACAACAATGGAGAGGAAAAAAACTCGAATTTGCCAATCCCCTCCAAAGTGTCGTCCCCTAAATGTTGAGAGATGATATGTAATTAGGTCCTTACTTAACACAAGATGGAGAGATGATATGTAATTAGGTCCTTATTTAACACAAGATGGAGAGATGACATGTAATTAGGTCCTTATTTAACACAAGATGGAGAGATGACATGTAATTAGGTCCTTATTTAACACAAGATGGAGAGATGATATGTAATTAGGTCCTTATTTTACACAAGATGGAGAGATGACATGTAATTAGGTCCTTATTTAACACAAGATGGAGAGATGACATGTAATTGGGCCCCTAAACTGTCGTACTCGAATGATCTGAGATTAAGTATCTACGCTATCTGTTGACCGAAGGCATGTGAAAGGATGCAGATATAGTATGTGACAATGATAGAGCGTTCAGGGTCGATACTAAATCACGGAATAAGGCAATGATAGTGGTGTCAGGGTCGATACTACATCAAGGAACTACCCATGCCATTTGTTTAACAATGCATGATGGCTACTATCATTTTGTACGGTTGCTTTGTTTTAACTGTGTTCTCATTTCAAATTGAAGGTAAGCTATTAATTATACTATTTAGTCGTAGGTTTTCATTTTTTAAAAAAAGATAGTGTGAAATCAAGAAAAGTTTTACATAGAGGGACATGCATAGAAATGATTTGAATGGGTGGCACGACGAAATAGACTTCATGGTTGACAATGGTGAAGGGCCAGTAGTGAAGGGAGAGTAATGGATGGCCAAAAGTTGAGGGCCAGAAATGGAAGGATAGTAGTGGATGGACAGTAGTGGGGGACAGTACTGGAGGGGCAGTAGTGGAGGGCCAGTGGTGGAGGGAAAGTAGTGGAGGGCTAGACGTGGAGGGGCTGTAGTGTAGGACCAATATAAAAGGGTGCTGAAGGCTCCTTTGTCTTCAATTGTATTATTTTGCTTGAAATACTTTCTTCTGTCATGTTTCGTAGAAATATATTGAACAACACAACATACGGCTTAGAAATTCGCTATGAGCTTAGTTTTATTCTGGGGGGCGGGCGGGATGTTAGGGTGAGGTGGGATGTTAGGGTGGGGCAAGATGCTAGAGTGGGATGGGATGTTAGGGTGAGGCGGGATGCTAGGGTGAGGTGGGATGTTAGGGTGAAGCAGGATGTTAGGGTGAAGCGGGATGTTAGGGTAAGGCGAGATGCTAAAGTGGGATGGGATGTTAGAGTGAGGCGGGATGTTAGGGTGAAGCGGGATGCTAAAGGGGAATGTGATGTTAGGGTGAGGTGAAATATTAGGGTAAGGCGGGATGTTAGGGTAAGGCGGGATGTTAGGGTGAAGTGGGATGCTAAAGTGGGATGTGATGTTAGGGTGAGGCGGAATGTTAGGGTAAGGTGGAATGTTAGGGTGAGGTGAGATGTTAGGGTGAGGCGGGATGCTAGAGTGGGATGTGATGTTAGGGTGAGGTTGGATGTTAGGGTGAGGCGGGATCCTAGATTGGGATGGGATGTTAGGGTGAGGCGGGATGTTAGGGTGAGGTGGGATGCTAGAGTGGGATGGGATGTTAGGGTGAGGTGGGATGTTAGGGTGAGGCGGGATGCTAGAGTGGGGCGTGATGTTAGGGTGAGGCGGGAGGTTAGGGTGGGGCGGGATGCTAGGGTGGGGCGGGATGTTAGGGTGAGGGGGGATGGTAGGGTGAGGCGGGATGTTAGGGTGAGGCGGGATGCTAGAGTGGGATGGGATGTTAGGGTGAGGTGGGATGTTAGGGTGAGGCGGGATGCTAGAGTGGGATGGGATGTTAGGGTGAGGCGGGATGTTAGGGTGAGGCGGGATGCTAGAGTGGGATGGGATGTTAGGGTGAGGCGGGATGTTAGGGTGAGGCGGGATGCTAGAGTGGGATGGGATGTTAGGGTGAGGCGGGATGTTAGGGTGAGGCGGGATGCTAGAGTGGGATGGGATGTTAGGGTGAGGCGGGATGTTAGGGTGAGGTGGGATGCTAGAGTGGGATGGGATGTTAGGGTGAGGCGGGATGTTAGGGTGAGGTGGGATGCTAGAGTCGGATGTGATGTTAGGGTGAGGTGGGATGTTAGGGTGAGGCGGGATGCTAGAGTGGGATGGGATGTTAGGGTGAGGCGGGATGTTAGGGTGAGGTGGGATGTTAGGGTGAGGCGGGATGTTAGGGTGAGGCGGGATGCTAGAGTGGGATGGGATGTTAGGGTGAGGCGGGATGTTAGGGTGAGGCGGGATGCTAGAGTGGGATGGGATGTTAGGGTGAGGCGGGATGTTAGGGTGAGGCGGGATGCTAGAGTGGGATGGGATGTTAGGGTGAGGCGGGATGTTAGGGTGAGGCGGGATGCTAGAGTGGGATGGGATGTTAGGGTGAGGCGGGATGTTAGGGTGAGGCGGGATGCTAGAGTGGGATGGGATGTTAGGGTGAGGCGGGATGTTAGGGTGAGGCGGGATGCTAGAGTGGGATGGGATGTTAGGGTGAGGCGGGATGTTAGGGTGAGGCGGGATGCTAGAGTGGGATGGGATGTTAGGGTGAGGCGGGATGTTAGGGTGAGGCGGGATGCTAGAGTGGGATGGGATGTTAGGGTGAGGCGGGATGTTAGGGTGAGGCGGGATGCTAGAGTGGGATGGGATGTTA